CCAAATCAGTTATCATCCAGTAACTAATTAATTTTGATAATCTGCTTAATCCGGAAACACTTCAAATTGAGATGGCACTATATTCCCAAAAACTTTTTGCTTGAAGTTGTTGAGCTTTTTTTGAAAACATTTCCTTAAAAGATCTAAGTTTTTGGCATTTTTATAATTTTTAAAATTGATTTAAAAATATATATATTAGGCTCCTTGCATATGGGTTCCCCCAGACTTTTTTTTTTCTTTTTTCTGATTTTTCAAAAATCCAACCAGATGCTATTTTCCTGCCCAATTCCCAGACATGTCTGGGAAAACCTGGACGTATGGCAGCCCTGCTATATGTTGAAGCATCTTGCCCAAGAATGGAATATTGGAGGCTCGCTAGACATTATCCAATGTGATGGGGTTCAGGGAGTTGTTGTTTAGTTGCTGTATAGAAATATGCTGCTGACGCCATTAATACTATTTTTAATTGAAATGATTATAATGGGTTAAGCTAAGCTACTTCGAATTGATTTACAAATGCTGGTTACAAGCATCATTCAGGGAAATGTAGTTATGAAAACCTTAAAGCATAAAATTGTTTTTAGTGTTTTTAAATTTGCTTGTAGTTCCTTTTGTACGAAAGATAGTAATATTTTCAGCTTTTCAGCATAGCCACTGCTACGCATTTCATAAGCAAAGTAGAATTGTGTCACCGCCTTGAACGTTGCATTGGGCTCAGGTAAGTGAGCGTCATTCTGCAGCCTTAAATCCTTAAACAGGAGTCAGTGCTTTACACTGATGACGGCCAGAAATGTACTCTTGAGGAGTAATATGTGGTTAGATACAAGGATGAAGTGGGGGACCCCAAATCCCTTCACCAAATAGAGCTCCCCGGTCTCTCCTCGCCTGCTAACTTTTGAAAATCCCAAGCATGGAGGTGAAGGCAGCAGAGCACGCCACTCTCCCGCAAAGCCCACTGTTTAATAATACAGTGGTACCTCGGGTTACATACGCTTCAGGTTACAGACTCCGCTAACCCAGAAATAGTACCTCAGGTTAAGAACTTTGCTTCAGGATGAGAACAGAAATGGTGCTCCGGTGGCGCGGTGGCAGCAGGAGACCCCATTAGCTAAAGTGGTGCTTCAGGTTAAGAACAGTTTCAGGTTAAGAACGGACCTCCAGAACGAATTAAGTACTTAACCGGAGGTACCACTGTAATAATAGTAATAATAATAATAATAATAATAATAATAATACAATAATAAATTTTTATTTATACCCCGCCCTCCTCAGCCAGAACCGGGCTCAGGGAGGCTAACACCAATAAAATTACAATAAAACATAATGGGGGCGGGACCAAAAAATGCATAAAGAAATAAAAGACAAGACAATCACAGTAAATATTTTAATATTTGCATTCATTTCCCATTGTTGTCAGGATCCAGGGAAGACCTAAATGTGAACCCACTGAGACCAACGCTGATCTCTCCAACAGGAAAGCGGGAAAGGAAGAGACTCCTTTTGCCTCAGCAACGTCATGTGAAAGAATCTGATGGAAAACAGTCTGCAGAGAGTTTGATTTCTGACCTACCCCATAACTCAGGTGGCCAAATGCAGAGGAAGACTCAGCAGGGTTCCTGTATTTTATTTTACAGCGGTATCCCGGGTTACAAATGCTTCAGGTTACAGACGCTTCAGGTTACAGACTCCGCTAACCCAGAAATAGTACCTCGGGTAAGAACTTTGTTTCAGGATGAGAGCAGAAATTGCGCAGGTATGAGTGCCTATCTCCTCCATCCCATCTGCCAACAATAAGCATGAAGTACCGTATTTTTCGCTCTATAAGACACACCTTTTCCCTCCTAAAAAGGGGAAATGTGTGCGCATCTTATGGAGTGAATGCTGTTCTGGCTTCTGGGATTCAGAATATTTTTTTTCTTGTTTTCCTCTTCCAAAAACTAGGTGCGTCCTATGGTCTGGTGCGTCTTATAGAGCGAAAAATACGGTATATTTCTGTTATTGTCTGTTTTGTTCCATAACAATGGGAGGATTTGTTAAGAAATCTCTGATCTAACTTGACCAATAGTCCAAAAGAGCTTAAAACCAGTTCCATTTTAGATGGGATACTTAACCGAAGTAAATCACCATTCAGTGAGATCTTCCCTTCTTTGTTCATTAACATATATTATCTAAGTGACAGTGCTGCAAATTCATCTTCATAATTTTTGTTTATTCACGCTCTTAATTGTTTAGTAGGGTTTGGGAAATAACATTCTCAAAATGTTATTTATTTTAGCAATCTAGTGCTTTTCGCTGTCTTGCTGCATCCTGAAGGAATGCCACTATTTCTATAAATGGTAGGGATCAGTTTTGCTTTCCGGACAATAGCAACAGGGCAAGTTCCAGAGATGGCTGTACATTGTGCCAAATTACATTACCACGTTCAGCAAAGACCTTTGTCCCCAAAAAATTGCACAGTGGAGCAAGTCCACCACATGTGGAAGACTGTACCTTTATTACTGCAACCTCTCTAACAGACAGAGTTAATTTAATTGGAGAATGATACCAGTAGAGGACTGGTTTTAAAGAGGACTCTCTAACTTTTGCTGAGACCATCTTAAAAAGTCTTCCCTTTTTTTACATATTGATTCCCCAATGCCTGGTTCCCATATCAATGTTAACCCTTCTGTTCCCAAGCTAAACAAACCCTGCAATTTATATAAAGTTGAGACTATACCATTACTATTTGGCAAATACTGTATGTGTCAGTAATAAGATTTTCAGATACGGCCTTGTCATGTCTGTCTTGGATGAGTTACAAGAAGCAATATTTGATGTATGGCTAACTAACTTACTCTGGCTTCTCTCAGTTGTTATTTATGTTGTTCCCCAATTTTAGGGGTTACTCTCATATTTGATAGAGGTGTTTCTGTTCCTCTCCATAAAATGCTTTTTTTAATCATCAAAATGGGATGGTAAACAGATGGTGTTAAGAAAGATTGTGTTAGCAGATGGTGTTAAATCAATCAATGACAGTTTTCCACATGTACTGGATTTCTTTAGATGGAATGAGAAATTCCCAGTTATTGAATATAACAAGCAAAACTTTTAACTATCTTTATAGGCAATAAATGCCATGGGTGATATCCAACTAAGTCAGAAAAGACCCTTTGAAATCAATCAACTTGAAGTTACTTAACCCAGTACTTTTAATGGGTCTACTTTGAGTATGATTGATGCTGGATCTCACCCCATATTTTACAGTTACTGCAAAGCTGCAAAGTTGTGCCAGGAGCATAGTGAGTAGTCTCCTTAAGTTCTTTGGCCACCGCCTTAAAAAAACCAAAAAACCAAATGGGTTAGATTTCTAATAAGAGAAATACAGCTCATCACAATAGAAACATGAAACACAACTGGGAATGGGGAGAGGATAAGAATGTTAGCTAATACCTAAAGTTATAGGGAAGTCAAATTTATTTTTTCTGAGAATTCTCCACAGTCAAGGAAGAAAGAAAGCCCTGTCATTTGCCAGAGATAATGTATACCCATTGCAACACAAAACAGCTGTTCTGTTCCAGGTCAGGCATATACAAAGGTGTCTCCTCATTAAAGGGAGATTACTGGCAGGAAAATCCGATCCTGGAAGAGGCCTACCAATACTGCTGTTGTTTATGAAGCTGTGGAGCCTAATCAGGGAGGAAAGAGGTAGGGGAAACTAACTTGGAACGAAGTTTCTTCCATGCCACCTTACACAATCATCAAAACTCTGTCTCGTTCCCCTGCAAGTCATTTCATATTTTATTTATTTTTAAAATATTTCATTTTTCCAATTTTTCATTTTACAATGTTTCTACAAAAAAATAAAATCTAATCTAAACAAAAACCAACATTTTCTTCGACTTGCTTCCCCTCCTCTCTGCTGTTCCTTATTTTATATCACAATCTTACTGCATCACCAATTCCAACCTATTTATAAATTTAATCATTTTACTCTCTATGTTACTTTTTTTTACTGTTCCTGTTTATGTCAATCCTGCTAACGTTTTTAATTGTTTACAATTTGTCTTCATAAATTCAACAAATTCACATTCTGTTAGAAAAACGTCTCTCATCTGGATCTCTTATTCTTCTGGCAAGTTTCACCATCTCTTCAAATTCCATCAGTTTTAATTGCCAATCTTCTTTCGTTGGGACTGTTTCTTCTTTCCACCTTTGGGCATATACCATTCGCAAATCATTTATTTTTTACACCCCGGACAATTTAGACCAAGACCTTTTCAGCCTGGAGGCCATATTCTCCCTTCTGGGACTCCAGGTCAGAGGTCAGGATCTGCCCAAGCCATTTTGCTACCTGGGGCAAAGGGAAAGGAAGTGAATTCCCCATTTTGTGCACAAAATTTGACTAGACAGCTGAATCTTACTTCAGCACTGGTGATGGAATAGACTGGGACAACCCAGTAAGATGGGTGGGGTACAAATAATGAAAATTATTATTATTATTATGTCTTCCACCACACCCTTAGGGCAGCGAGCTAGCTTAGGGGCTGTAGGACAGACCACACGGCACATTTCTAGCCACTTTTCCTCCCTCAGAATTTGCTGTCTGAGACAGCTGCCTCACTCTTTCTGCCTTATGGAAGGGCCGGCCCTGCCAGTGGTGGGTGGCACCCGAAGCAACAGTACGCAGACTAATGGATATGGCTCTTACCTTTGCACAGTAGGCTCTATTCCAGCCACTCAAAAAGTCAGAGGTTTTGACACACCCACCCATCCACTCCATTCTCCATCCAGGCAAACGAGGCATTATCACAGTTCGAGGAGACCAGGCAAAAGCACTTGAGGAGAGCATGAAGGAAGGCTAAAATTGCAAACTGATGTGGAGAACCGATCTTAAGATTGGAAAAACGAGAAACCAACATTGACCCGTCCATATTTGATCCACAGTGAACTGGGCACCCCCAAGTTCCACTCAAACCACCAGAACCCTTCCTCAAAAGAATGACTTGCCTGAACAAGAGAGCTTGTTAAAACATTAGTTTATTCAATTCATTCTGGAAACGTGTGGGTGTTCCATTGCTCCAAGCATAGTAGCAGCAGCCCAGACCCTCTGATGCTCTCTGAAGCATCCCTCTGCCCCCAGGGTGTATCCAAAATATGCCCCGTGGTTTTGCTGCACTGGCACAGCAGCGGTTGTCGGCACCAGGCCGGGGTGCTGGCTTGGATGGGAGTTGGGGGTCTCTCAAATGTATGGGCAGAGAGGCCCAGGTCAGTGCTTCTTCCCAGAAGCTGGGGGGTTACCCACAGTGGGCAGGCAGGATGTTGTGAGGACAGCACTGTCTGCCAAGATGCTTGCAACTGAAATATCTGGAAGAGTGGGGTTGCCGCTGGCGGGCGAAAGAGGTGTGGCGGGGACAATGAAGCTATCTATGTCATGCATGTAAGCTAATGTTATTCCTGACCTGGCTTCGACCACAGTGGGAATGGGAATTTAGAGAAGTTACTTCAACTCTTGTATCAGTAGTGAGAGCATGCCCCTAAGAGACAACAGGGTTGGAGGGTCTGCCCTAAGTCACCCTAGAATACCCACATGCAAATGGCTCCAAGCCCAATGGGGGATGTTACTACAGGGAACTGGTCTAATGGGCCATTGAAGGTTCAGGGCTCAAGGGACTCTATATGCTTAGAGTCATGCTAACGCAGAGCTCCGGGAGCCCTTTCTAGAGCACAGCAGCTGGTCCTGGTCCATCCTAGCACAGGCTCCATTTGAGCCACAGCAGAAAGTGATCTGGAACATTTGCAGAATGCCACATAGCCTGGGGTTAACAATAAGGGTTCTATGAGCATGTGGAGGCTATATGTTTCAGGTCATTGGTTTGCCTCGACCAGAATCGTGTCTATTCTGACCAGCAATGGTTTTTCCAAGACCTCAGACAGAGGTCCTTCTCTGCTGGTTGAGATGTGTCCTGACACAACTGCTCTTTATTAAAATGACCACCGGTTTTGAGGTCCACCAGAAGGTGCCAAAATCAGCTGCTGCACATAGAAACAGAGCCCACCACAGACGCCTTTCTGAAATGCTTCCAACCCACCATTCCCCATGTTCCTCCCCTTCCCTAGGGTGTACAGAGGCTTGTATGCCAACAGCACTTGTTAAGTGATTGGCATTTGGAGGTCTTTGTCTTTTCTGGTGGACCGACTGGTGCCAGCCTGTAAGTCGCTAAGCTGGTGTTCCATAAATGCCTCCCTCTAGTCTGCTTTACCAGACGCTAGAAGGAAACACTTCCTGTCCTTGCCCCCAGCTCTGGAGCTCAACAGCCTCCCAAACAATGCTATAGTAGCCCCTGGGTTTAGTCATTCTGTCCTCCCTGCCTGGGTTTCTGTTCCTTTGTTCCCCAACCAAATCCTCAGACGTTGGCCATTGGCCTTGTCTTTGGACAAAACTCCACACAGCTCATTCCTGGTTGAATATAACTGAGAACCTGCTTCCTTTGGGCTCAAAGGGTATGGGATGTCATTCCATGTAGACTAAGCTACTTCTTGGAAACAGCACTTAACCCCATTCCAAAAGAGAAAAAAGCAGCTGTGGGAAGGCCGGGGGTGCCAAGTCGGTCAGTGTGCATCCCAGTTTCCTTAAAAAGGCCAGAGCAAGAAGGAAGTGGTGAGTAGTCTTAACTCTTAAAGTCCCAGTAGGTTCAGTCTCCCAGAAGACACACAACTAGCAGCAAGATCGAGCCCCTGCAAACAGCCCCAGGCTCCCTGGAAAACGTAGAAGCTTTCATTCTTATTCTCCCTGCCCCCAAGCTATGTTGCACCCTCGCATCAGATAATCTGAAGTATGTCATGACAATCAACGAACCTTGTCCCAGGAAAGGCCAAGGAGGAGGTTGGGAAATTGAGAGTGTGAGAAGTTAGACGCCCCCACCCCCCTGAAAAAAAAGGCCCAGTCCCACAGTAAGGAGACCAGGAGTGCCTCCATAGGTCAGACTTCGCTTGTGACTGACCGGGAGGGAATGAGGACATCTGGGGTGGTGGGGAAAAGACACAGCTGAGGATCAGGTGACCTCTGAGAACACAACTCCGTGATTCTGGAACAGAAAGAGGGAGAGGCAAAAGAAAGAGAGTCAGTTCTGCCTTCAGAAAGAGTAACAAAACTGATTGAGAGGTCTGAGTTTGATCAGAACCTTCAGCTGGGCCCTACTAGAGCCAAAACAGCAGGGTCATGACTGTGGTGCAACACCCAAGGTAATCTTTCAAGCGGAATCTAGTACTACATTTACTCAAATGTAATGGGCCATCGAATCTAATGCATGCCTCAATTTTCAAAGCTTTGAAACCAAAAAAGTATTTGCTGGCAAATGTAAATGCGCCATCAAACATAATGCGCACCCGAATTTTCGCGACATAATTTGGCTAAAAAGGTGTGCATTATATTTGAGTAAATCCAGTAATTTTAAAGCTTTCCTCATCTTGTTGATGTGTGTGCATTTTAAAGAAGCGCACTCCTAGTCCTTGTGGCTGTAAGATGGTGTTTTTAAGTGCAAGGGAGGATTTTCCGCTTATAGGTTTGGAAAATTCAGAGGAAAAGTTGACCTAGTCTTTACTTATAGCCCTGCCACATGAGACTTCACCCTCTGTCTTCTGGTTGTTGCAAAAATGTCTCAAACAGCAACAACAAATCATGTATTTTGGTGTGAACAACATATATATAAAAAAGGCAAAGCAGCACAGCAACAAAGAAAACCAAGACTTGCAGCACAGTTCTGTGCCTGCTTACTCAGGAGTAAGTTCCACTGTGTTCGGTGGGGCTTATTCCCCTGTAAGTGGGCATAGGATTGTGAACTATGTGTGTGGATTAGGTTGGCTATGTAAATTTATCTAGCTGGAATAATTTATTCTAGTCTCAGAATTTTTCTAGTTGCGGAATTTGGAGCATCTAGCACAGAACTACACACACACACACACACACAACTACACACACACATAAACACAACATTGCTGCTGGTTTCCTTTGAAGGATGTGCCTGCAAGCGTTTGTTTCTCGAGGGTCATATGATCTGCAGCAGCTATGATACGTAGTGCATTGAACGCTCTGTTTTCAGCCTGTCTTTGACCCACCAGCGCTGCTGGGAAGGGAGCCTGGGACCCAGTGGAGCTAGTTACCCCCAGACATGAGTCCCTTGCTCTCCTGAACTGCCACTTCATCCCTGCTGCTCTTCAAGAGAGAGGTGCTGTCTTCCTCCAGTGCTCAAAACCAAAGCAGAAGCATGGTGTGGCAGTCACATTCTTAAGGAAGCCAGCTGCTGGGTTGTACCCCAGCTGCCCAAGCAGGCTAACCCTCAGGACTTTGCTCACTATGTTGAGGTCACTTCCTGCTGTTCTGCAAAGCATCAGAGAAAGCATGGCACAGCCAGAGCAAGCGGGTTATTAATGCTCAAGCTCAGGGAAGCAGGGGGCGGGGGGAAAGGCTGGTGCATGTTGCCTGCAGGATGGGCAATGGGCATCCACAGATAAGCTGTCCATGCAAACGCACCTCCATGGGCATTTGTTAAGCTACTCCGCCATGTTGCCAGGCCTCCTGTTGCACACAGAATTGTCAGAATAAGGATCTCGCCCAAGGATGACTATCCCCTGCCCTTAAAACGAAGAGAGCTCTCTGCGATTTAGGGTGATGCTGCCCCCTCACTGAGGGGCAGATGGGGCTCGTCAACCTGGAAAGGTACCCATCTAGGAGTAGGAAAACTCTGGTCCTAGACATCTGCCCCCTTGCAGGATATCTTTGGGAGAAGAAAAGGCTAAGGAGTAAACCCTACACAAATCCAGTTGAGTCCCTAAGACAGTTGCATGGTGCATTGTATATCTTGCTCTGCTTTCCTTTGGACCACATCAGCAAGGCCAAGAGGGGCATCTTATCATCTGGGCAGCCCAGGACCTCCATACACCCTGCCCAGGCTTAGTGTTCCAGGGAGGTCGCTTTGGTGCTGCTAACACCATAGTCTGACTTCACCCCTGGAGGCACACTCCATTGTATCTTGAGACTGATGGATGCCAACAATCTCCCCCGCCCCCCTCGGTTGGACATCATATTATGACAGGCATTCCACCTCCACCCGCAAGCCTCGATCAAAACAAGCTGACCTCTCCTGGATTTGCATGTGCTGGCCCAATTTTGCTCATCGTGTAGGATGGGTTATCATATGTGTCAACCCATGTAGACCGGAAACTACTTTTCAGAGGTATTTTGGCATCACTGGTTACAATTTCCTGTGATGTTGAAGAGCATCTGACAGCTTAAATGTAGGACTTCATTAAGGGAACCTGTGGCCTCCCAGCAAATGCTGTAGGATTCCAAACCCATGGCCAGTGGTGAGGGATAATGGAAGTTGTAGTCCAGCAATATTGAGAGGGCCCCAGATTCCCCCACCTTTACTCTAACACTGAACAGAAAACTAACTGTAGGGATTATGACTCTCATTTCCAGGCAGCCATGTAATTAGCATTGCCTTAGACACGTGTGTGTGTGTGTGTGTGTGTGTGTGTGTGTGTACTTTAAGAGGGCCAAAGGTTTTGTGGGTTTTGAAACTGAGATGGAAATTCAGTCAGCTGCACCAATCCTAAAAGATAGATGCAAACTCTCAGGCTGAAAACAGCCCCACACACCTGTGAAAAGCCATGAGGGATGCAGGCTAAAAAGCCATGTGGAAAACCAAATGAACACTTTGAGGCTTATTTCTCCTGGTTCATTGTTCTCTTTAGTATTAAATAATGTTCAGATCATCTCTTCAGTTTCTAATGTGCTTCCAATTCTTAGACATTTCACCTAATAAATATACATTCGTTTAAGATAAGAGAATTGCCTGCTGGGGAATTCACTGCACTTAGAGGCAATTCACTGCTGGGCAATTCACTGCACTGCCTCTGCTCACAGGCTGTGGCAGTGTTTCTCAAACCTGGGTCTTCAGCTGTTGTTAGACTACAACTCCCATCATCCCTAGCTAGCAGGGCCAGTGGCCAGGGATATTGGGAGTTGTAGTTCATCAACAGCTGGAGATCCAAGCTTGAGAAACACTAGGCTATGGTATATCGATGTTGAAATGCCCATTAGTTGCAAGGCAACCTCAGCCATGCAGACGACTAAGGAATATAGGAAGTTGGACCCATTTGGTCAACCTGCTCAGTATTGTCTTCTACACCGGCTGGAAGCAGCTCACCAGAGTCTCAGGCAGGAATCTTTCCCAGCTGTTCCCGGAGAATCTGGGAATTGTACCTGGGCACTGAGCTATGGGCTTTACACAGCTGGGGCGTCCTGTCCCCACCATACCTAGTTGGAGTGGAGAATTTCTGCTTTGATTCGAGCATTCCAGCTCACCTAGTGTAGGTGGATGGGAAAGTTCTTGCTTCCTTCCATGCTTCCTTTCCACCTGAAGGGTCTCCTCAAACCATCAAAGCAACTGACCCAACTCCCTTGACATCTTCATGTCTGTCTCTCTGGACCCATCCATTCGCACAGCCCTCTCTTCTCAACTCTTGCGGCCCTCAACTTCCTTGACCTCTAGTTATCCCCTACACTGACGCCCTGCCCAAATATTATTCTCCCTCGAGTGTTCCGCCTTGAGCAAGCAGTGGGGATGGCATCTTGCCAGGGGGCTGAGTCTGACCCAAAGGCAGTTCCCTCCCCCTTCCTTCGGATCAGTCACTTACTCGTAGGGGCGGGCCATTGCTGCGTTTCCAGGCGCCGCCAAGCGGAGAGATCGCGCTAGCTGCCTTTCCAGGCCTCTTGAGAGTAGTGTAGAAAACTCCTGTTCTTCTGGGGGGTCCCTCACCTGCTACATCCCCACCCCACCCCAAGGGGGGCGGGCAGGCAGCACCATAGCAGGGGAGTGGGGGAGCACACACGGATGGTTGGGAGAGAACAACACAGAGATTGAAACAATTAGCTGCTTGGTCAACATACAGTTGCTTGGATTGGGGAGGGAAGGAAATGCAAGTTTTGGATTATTTTCAAGGTGTGGAGAATGGCGAGGGCTTGGGGACAAGGTGGCTCATGCCACACAAAGAAGGACTCGCGAATCCCAAAAGTTCCAGAATTCGGGGCATGGAAAGGTTCACAAAAACTCACTCTGTTTATGTGTAAAGCCTCTCCTCTTCCCGGTGGGGAGGTGTTGTGAGCGGGAATCGCTTCCCGCGGCTGCAGGGGGGCGTGGCCAGGCCCCCCTGTGTCATTGGAGTCCTGGGCCTGTGTCACACACTCCAGCCAGCCAATCCAGTGGGCTGGTGGGCGTGGTTTTGCCGTTTAAAAAGGCCGCGGGCCCTACAAGCTCCTCCTTCTTGTTCCCGGCTTCCTCAGATCACCCGCCCTCCCTTTAGGCTTTGCCTCAGCACCTGACCTTGCTATGGACCTCAGTCGATCGCCTTGGTTGCCCAAGGGGCCTGGTAGTAAATAAGTTCCACTTGGCAGATTGGGTCCAGCCACTTGGTTTTTCACCTACCTCGTAGCAAATTGTCACAACTTTGTAAGGTTTGGCGGTTAGGCACTGGAAATGCATTGTGTGTCGGAGGGGAGGTTGTGGCCATCCCCTCCCCCTCCCCTTGAAGGGTATTCTGTTAAAGGGATCCAGCGGTCGTGGTTCCTGTCCGAAGCCCAGTTGGCGGCTGGGGCCATGGCTCGACCCCTGGTGACTCTGGGGGAAAGCTTCCAGTTGATTTGCATCAACAAGCTCCCCCTACTGGTTGTTAACCCTCGTGTGACTCCCTGCAGAGCGGGCAGGAGTCAAGTATAGTCTGTTTGGATCCCAATGCCTAAGCCAATACCACTTACATTCTGTAACCAATAAAGTTGTGGCCTTTTTTAGCCCATTAACCTAAACTACTTGTGTCCGTGTGTCTTATTTCATCACAAAGCAGGGCCTCGACTCACAACTATGTAAACTCATGCCTTCTGTGTAGAAGGGCCGCTTTCTCCTTGCCTGCCTGCAGCATTTGGTTGGGGGCAGAGGACCAATCAGGTCCATAATCAGTCCCATATTTCCATCACAGGGGTTGTGTCTAAAGCAGGGATGGTGACTATGTGGCCCTTCAGATGTTGTTGTTTGAAAGTGTTGGGACTGCAACTCAGCTTGTACTGGAGTCTGATGTGTCTGCACAGGGGAAAGTAGACACAGAGAACCTCCCACTTCAAATTTGCATCAGCCCCAGCTAGTACGGACAATAGCCAGGGGTGAGGTAGTTCACCAACATCTGGAGGACCCACAGGTCCCCTACCCCTGCCCTACTCTGCCAATCCCACCCAACTATGCTGAAGGTGAGACTTTGCTTGAACAGGAGTCGCTCTGGGCTTACAGATATGTGAGCAGAGAAGGGAAGGGTGGACTGAGCAGGCTCTGAGATAAGCAAATTGCAAGGAGATTGGGAATTCAAGAGAGTTGGCTGGCAGGTGGCTTTCTCCCTCGTGGTCCAAGCATTATTGTGGCGGTTAACCTCCCCGCATCCAGGGAGGCAGCTAGAGTTAGGGGCTCAAGAACTAAGGGGAGTAGCTAGCCTGACACACTTCCCTGATGAGGTTAGAGCTGGCAAGATATTGGCCATGTCTTGCTGCCCCCTGCTTCCTCCTTTTCATCACCCTAAAGATCCACCATTCCAAGTTCTGCAACTCCTTACCTCCTGCTTCCTGGCCTTCCCTTATGCTAACCTTCCCCTCTCAAACGGTTCAGAATAGCTCAGCCAAGAAGAGCCTTTTTCCTTCTGACAAATGAACCCACCCTACTCAATTTTTTGGCACTGCTCCATTGTATTCTTGGCATCAAGTCTAGGCATCTTTAAAAGCTCTCTGCATTCAGACTGTGAGCCAATGGATCAAGCACTTTTTGCATGTTGGATTATTTTTTTCTGTGGTTATTTGTTTTAGACAACAAGGCACTTTTTAAAAAAGCACCTGTGTATTCCTTTTGCTTTTCTATGGAAGAAAGCAAGACATTAGCAGGAGAAAGAGGACTCCTAGCAAGTAGAAAAGGGAAGGACAGGGCAAGAAACCCAAGGCCTCGTCAGGAGAGGGAGCAAAAAGCAGACATAGTGCAACATAGCGAGCGAGCGGAAACTGCAAGTGCAAAGAGCCAAATGGTCTTTCCAGGATGTCGAAGCAGGAAGCAAAAGTGTCTCTGGAAGATAATAGGGAGCCAGTCCAGTAAGCAGTAAAGAGGAATGACATGATCAAAGCACCGCCATGCGGTATGGATTATTCAGCAAGCAGAACTTGGAAGAGAAATGAAACATTTAAGGTGGGAGAGAGCCAGACAGAAAACAAAACATGACGGGAATCCCAGATGAGAAACAATCAGAGCCCGAAGCAACGATTTAGCAACTGATAACAGAAAGGGATGGATTCTGGCAATATTAAAAGGAAATGCGTGGCATGATCTACAAGAGAGATAATTTGATGAGGTGGGTGGGTGGGGGAGAAAAAGTTACACAAACACACACCCCTGACACACAAACCTCACCAAGGCTACATACTTGGATAGAGAATTGGAGACCCAAATCCTTATCGAGATAAAAAGGAGTGGGGGGGGGAAAGGTGGTTTAGAATGGAGGGAAAACTCAATGCTATGCATATAGATTATTAGTGAGTAAAAGCTCTGGTGCAGAAAATAACAAAGAGAGCAGTTGTAAGTGTAAAAGAGGCCAAAAGAAGAGTTCGGGTGTGTCACATTCACGTGTAAAGGTTGGCAATCTAAACAGATTTTGTGAATAACTGAAAGCTCGGGGATACACCAATGAATGTTTATAGTCAGCTTAGTTTGGCTGTTGGCATTCATTCATACATTTCTAAAACTGAGGAAACACATACTCTGCTTTCAGACAATCGTGAATTAATCTGTGATGGTGGGTACTCATGCGTAAATGATGATATTCACCAGGTTTCAGATATCCCTGTAAGAAGGGCAATTCTCAGAAACCATGCCAAAGGGGCTGCCCAGTTGTTCATCAAGGCAACAGCTAGTCAGTCCTCCCTTTGGCCACTCCTGAAGTGGAGCAAAGAGATAAGAGAGTGGCTGCAGGACAGCTTAGGTACCATGTGATGGGCAGCCAGACATGTCCCATCACACAAAAGAGGTTGCTTTATGTGAATTTGTTCTATAGCTCTGCCCTCCCATCTTCCTCAACCCCTGCTCCCTTCCCTCTGCACAAATTCATCTGCTCTCCAGTCACTTTGGGGCCTTTTGCCAAGCTGTTCCCTACATCTGAGACAACCTGTTTTTCGTCTTTGCCTTCCCTCTTAAAACCCATTTCTTCCACCCAAACATTTCCTGGATTACCACAACCTCCTTTCTTGCTTCCTGATTACTCCCTCCAGCTATCATCTCTCATTTTTCACTAGACACATTATGTCTTCTCCCAGTTTTGTCCTTTCCATCACACCAAGATTATATGGGCCTCTAAGCAACAGAGACTTTTGAATTCTCCTTGTTTGGTGTATTATGGTACATGCCACTTTCATGGTGGAACTCAGGTAGTCATACATGGAATTCCCCATAGAATAAAAGGTAAAGGTACCCCTGCCCGTACGGGCCAGTCTTGCCAGACTCTGGGGTTGTGTGCCCATCTCACTCAAGAGGCCGGGGGGCCAGCGCTGTCCGGAGACACTTCCGGGTCACGTGGCCAGCGTGACATCGCTGCATCTGGCGAGCCAGAGCCGCACACGGAAACGCCGTTTACCTTCCCGCCAGTAAGCGGTCCCTATTTATCTACTTGCACCCGGGGATGCTTTCGAACTGCTAGGTTGGCAGGCGCTGGGACCGAGCAACGGGAGCGCACCCCGCCGCGGGGATTCGAACCGCCAACCTTTCGATCGGCAAGTCCTAGGCACTGAGGCTTTTACCCACAGCGCCACCCGTCCCTACCCCCCATAGAATATCTCTTCTAAATTACTGCATCGAGCCCAGAACTTCACGTTGAGGACAACACAAGGCACCAGGAATGAAATGTATGATTGTGGGAAGCTACTTATGGACTACCTGAAGCTAACACAACAGAGCATTTCCCAACTCACTCCTTCCAGTGCTCAAGCTTTTAATTGCCACTTCCCATCCCTCACTGTCACCCCCTCCTCACTCTACTTAAACCCTTTGCATTCTTTCAAATCACCACTTTCTCCTTCTCTTTTTCCTTTAGTCCAACCTATGCTCCTGTTTAAAAGTGGCATTTTACAACCTGCTTTTGCTGCCCTTCCCCACCCTAACTTCATGCAAACTCAGGGTTGTGATGAGAAATTCTCCAAGTAGGACTGAATGATGATAGCCTTACATGTATATCAGAAGATATATCTATTTATCTATCTATCAGACCCAGCACTCCAAGCAACTGGGTCTAGGATCTAAAATGGAGGCATTTCCCTCTGGGATGCTGTATGGGATTTAGGTAAAGGTAAAGGGACCCCTGGCCATTAGGTCCAATCGCGGCCAACTCTGGGGTTGCGGCGCTCATCTCGCTTTATTGGCCAAGGGAGCCAGCGTACAGCTTCCGGGTCATGTGGCCAGCATGACTAAGCCGCTTCTGGCGAACCAGAGCAGCGCACGGAAATGCCGTTTACCTTCCCGCCGGAGTGGTACCTATTTATCTACTTGCACTTTGACGTGCTTTCGAACTGCTAGGTTGGCAGGAGCAGGGACTGAGCAATGGGAGCTCACCCTGTGCCCAGGATTCGAATCGCCGACCTTCTGATCGGCAAGTCCTAGGCTCTGTGGTTTAACCCACAGTGCCACCCAATTTAAGTGGTGGTTAAAACCAGTTGATCAGAGAGCTCTAGTTCCTCCCCACTCCTGCTCCCACTGTGCCATGTAGGCCTGTCACGGCCCACTGACTGAGGAGGGAGCCCAACGGAGGGCCACATTTTGCCCACAGCCCACCCCCAAACCTGGGGCCGACTGTGTGTCCTTGCATAAGCTGTAGAGATGTTTCAGGATGTCGCAGAGAAGGAGGTAGGCAAGCGTTGCTGGGCGGGATGCTACTTACCTGAGCCACACTCAACTTTTCAAGGGAACTGTCCACACAGGGCAAGCCCATGACAGGGACACTGGGCAAGCTGCTTTCAGTTGGGGTTGTTTTCTTGGCCGTAGGCGGGCTGCTCTGGAAATTGTTGACCACGCAAGTCACCTGCCAGCAAAAGAAGGTAGGAGCATAAAAACACTCTTCGCCTGATCCCGAACAATACAGTGAAAGAAAAAGGTAGACATTCTGCCCAACTTTAGTTCTACTACTAAACTTTCTGCCCAATTTTAGTTCTTCTACTTTAGTTCTTCACTTTCTGCTCATGTTAGCCTTCCTTGACTCCATGGCTATTGACCAAGCTCCCTGAGTCGTCCTTTCCTTTCCTTTTTTTCCTTTTTGTATATATTTTTTATTAAATTTTCTGTTTTACACTTTAGAAAATGCATTTAAACAACCTTAAAACATCAATGACTTCCCCTCTTCTCTTTCCATGGTTCATTTTGCATAACATAAATCCCTGCATATTTTACATAAACTAAACCACTCAGTATTCCATTATTACATCCATCAAACCTTGTTTGCATTGTTGAATTTATCTTAATGCTGCCCATGTTTTCAAGTGTACACAATTTCCCCCCATATATGCAATAAACATCTTCCAATCTTCTTTAAATGTACATTCTTCTTGTTCTCTTATTCTATATGTTAGGTCCACAAGCTGTGCATATTCCATCAGTTTAAGTTGCCATTCTTCTTTGGTTGGGACATCGTTCGTTTTCCATTTTGGGGCTAACAAAACACGGGCCACAGTGGCGGTATACATAAATAACCTTTTTTGACACCTGGGAATTTCCGTCTGAATTATCCTCAACAAAAAGGACTCTGGAAAAGTACTTTTAAGCATTTTTTTCCCAATTCATTATGAATTATTACCCAATACTCTTTTACCCTTTTACCAGTCCACCACACATGGCACTTTCTGCTAATGCTAGCCTTCCTTGACTCCGTGCCAAAGGCTATTGGCCAAGCTCCTTGACTCCTTTCCATATATGGGGAAAGCCCTGGTGGGTCAGACCAAAGGGGGCCCAGGCAGTCACACATTATTTTCCCACAATGGCCATGGGAAACCCACAAGCAGGGAAAGAGTACCCTAGCCACACAATGAGCCACACAATTTGTTTGGGGCTGCAGGACTCAGTTCTATGTGCACTACAGTACCTAGGGAAGGTATAAGAATCATCGGGCCTCCTGATGTTCTTGGACTACAATTCCCATCATCCCCTGCTGTGTTATGTTCAGTTGCTCCCAATGTTTCCTGAGGTCCCCTGCAGCAATACCACCATCTGCTGGCATTTAAACAAACACACTTCTGTGCTCATAAATGAACTCTAATGAAACCCTGGTAAGGTCCTCTTAAAAGGCACCACCAAACCTGATCAGATTCAGGTATTCTTGGAGGACGCTGGTTTTCTGGATCCATATCAACCAAGGGTTAGGTGTGCTTTTGTCACTGCCTTGGGTTGACCTGTGCTAGGAAGGAGACAGTAGAAATGTGGTCCTCTTGGTTCTTCTAGACCTCTTAACCATTTTTAGCATCATCTACCATGATGCGCTTCTGGGATGACTGACCTAGTCAGGGGTTGCGGCTCCACAGGGTTCAATCTCATCGCCTATGCTATTTAATATCTACAGTACATTAAGCTGCCAAGTGGGGCATTCTGGAGTGCATTATCAACTTTTTGGATGGACCCACAGACACGTTCCTCCTTTTCATCTCCTCTGGGCGTGGATGTGCTGGGCATAGCAATGGACTGGACGAGAGCAACAAAATTAGGCTCAATCCAAACAAGACAGAGGTGCTGTTTGAAGATGGCTTCTTGGTCCAGAGAAGTGGTACTCAGACAGTTCTGGAGGTAGTTGTACTCTCCCTGAAGGAGACTGGGAACATTCCTACATCCATTGTTACCACTGAAGGCACAGGTGTCCCTGTGGTGTGGACTGCTGGTGGCACAACTGTGACCCTGTCTTGGATGGAGATAGCCTAGCATTAGTGACCTATGCTCTGGTAACCTCCCTCTATATTAATGCAGGAGGCTGCCCTTGAAGTTGGTTCAGAAACTTCAGTTGGTGGGGAATTTGACAGCACGGTGACTTACTAGGACCAGGTGTTCTGAGGATATTACACAGGTGGGTGCCAGGATGTTTCTGGGCCCAATTCAAAGTGTTGGTATTAACTTTTAAAGCCTTAGGCAGCTTAGGAACCTGGTACCTGAACTCCTCCTAAATAAGCCTATCTTAACTTTATAATATGGGACACGGGTGGCGCTGTGGGTTAAACCACAGAGCCTAGGACTTGCTGATCAGAAGGTTGGCGGTTTGAATCCCCGCGACGGGGTGAGTTCCCGTTGCTCAGTCCCTGCTCCTGCCAACCTAGCAGTTCGGAAGCACATCAAAGTGCAAGTAGATAAATAGGTACCGCTCCGACGGGAAGGTAAACGGCGTTTCCGTGCGCTGCTCTGGTTTGCCAGAAGCGGCTTAGTCATGCTGGCCACATGACCCAGAAGCTGTATGCCGGCTCCCTCGGCCAATAAAGTGAGATGAGCGCCGCAACAGAGTCGGCCACGACTGGACCTAATGGTCAGGGGTCCCTTTACCTTTACCTTTTTAACCTTATAATTGTCAGTGGGGGCTCTCTTCAAGATTATGTCTCCACTGGAAGTATAGAGAGCGGCATCAAATTGGGAATTATAGGGACAGAATTACCCAAACTGTATAGAAATTTATTCATGTATGCAACTACAGCGGCAAGAATGCTACTCGCCCAAAAGTGGAAAGAAGAAGAAGTCCCAGCAAAGGAAGAATGGATGCAAAAACTTCTGGAATATGCAGAAAAATGGTGAAACTTACCGGAGGAATATGAAATCAAGATAACAAACTTTTTATAAAATAGAAATGGTTTATTGAATATTTACAAATAAATTGTAAACAGATAAGAACATTGGCAGGATTATTGTAATAACCTGTAGTTTTATAAGAGTATGTATTTAAAGTAGATGAATAAATGAGCAAATTCAGTTAATTTGGATATGCAGAAAATACTAAAAATGAATTTAAGGAACTGCAGAAAGAGGGGGAAGGAAGTCAAGTTTTGAAAGTTAAAATGATATATTTACAGATAAATTGCAAACAAAGAGAAACATTGGCAGGATTATTGTAATAACCTGCAGTTTCATAAGAGTATATATTTAAAGTAGATAATTAAATGAGCAAATTAAATGAATTTGGATATGCAGAATATATATTTTTAAACCGCAGAAAGAGGGGGAAGGAAGTCAAATTTTGAAATGCTAAATTGATTGTGAAACTAATGAAATGTATAAACTTGAAAAGTATAACTAAAAACAAAAATGCATCAAAAACTGAAATGTTAAAATGATTGTAAAATTATTGAAATGTATAAAATTGGAAATTACAACAAACACACAAACAAAGAAACAAGAGTGGCGTCAAGAGACAGGACTTTTTTGGTGATGGCACCCTTTCTATAGAACACTTTCCCCAGGGAAGATCACCTGGTGCTTTCTGTGCCATCTTTTCGGTGACAGACAAAGCTATGGCCCACCCCACGAGTTTGTTCATTTTTCTGTAGTCCTTGGCAATTTTGTCAGCTTTAAAAGTGGTACGATTTTTAGGGCTTTAGAATTAACATCTCACCCCTGCTGTTGGTTTGTAACATTATTTACGGAGGCTGTTATTTTGGAGAGGCAAGCTTTTTACACGTAGTTTTGTACAATGCTTGCCAATGTTTCCATGTAATTGCATTTCCTACTTTGTATGTTGTAAGGCACCTAGAAGCTTCGGTGTAGGTGAAGTGCTAATCTGATAATAATACTAATAATCTGGTGAGGAGGCTCCTGTAACTGCTGTGCAGACACTTATTAAATTAGGCTTCTTTCGCCTTCCAAAGCAACTACTCTATTCCCAGCTTAAGAATAGAAAGCGAAATACCAGTGGACAACAAAAGAGGTTTAAAGATGCTCTCAAAGCAAATCTGAAAAAATATAGTATAAGCACTGATAACTGGGAAACACTGGCCTGCGAGTGCTCCAACTGGAGAACAGCTTTTACCAAAGGTGTCATGGGCATTGAAGACACTCGAACTCAGGAAGAAAGGGAGAAACGTGCTAAGAGGAAGGCACACTTGGCAAACACTCACCATGATCAACTCCCACCTGGAAAGCCACTTCCGCCTTGAGGAGGAGGTGGAGTTGTGGTCTTCACGGCCCACCCACGTGCGCAGTGGGTGGGAGGCCAGCCCAGCGTGACTGGGGGATTCCCGGCTGCGTCACCCCCCTAGCCAGCCAATCGGGTTGGTCCAGAGGTGTGGCCTGCCCCATAAAGGTAGGACGCAGCCGGGGAGCTCCCTCTTTTCTGCCTCCAGCTGCTTCAGTTTTCCCACCCTCCCACCCTTTAAGGTTTTCTTTCTTTGACCTTGCTCTGGACTTCTGTTGGTCGCCGTTGAGGGGCCTGGTAGGATTTTTTCCACTTGGCAAATTGGCACCAGCCACTTGGTTTTCGCCTACCTTGTAGCAGATCGTCACAACTTTCTGGGTATTGGCGGTTAGGCATTGGAATAGGTCTGTAGATGGAAAGAAGGGAGGCAGCGCCATCACCTGCCCCACATATTGAAGGGTAGTCCATTAAAGGATTCCAGGGGGCGTGGCCCTGTCCAAAGCCTAGGAAGGTTAGGACCTAAGGCACACCCCCTATTGGTGACCCCGGGGGAGCTCCTAGTTGATGTGGATCAGCAGGACTCCCCCTACTGGTGATTAACCCTTCCCGGACTTCAAGCGGACGGGCTGAAGAAGAAGAAGAGTTTGGATCGGATATCCCGCTTTATCACTACCCTAAGGAGTCTCAAAGCAGCTAACAATCTTCTTTTCCCTTCCTCCCCCACAACAAACACTCTGTGAGGTGAGTGGGGCTGAGAGACTTCAGGACTTCAGAGAAGTGTGACTAGCCCAAGGTTACCCAGCAGCTGGATGTGGAGGAGCGGGGAAGTGAACCCGGTTCACCAGATTACGAGTCTACCGCTCTTAACCACTACACCACACTGGCTCTCACACTGGCTGAAGTCAGATATAGTCGGTTAGGTCCAATGCCTAAGCCAATACCGCTCATCAACTGTAACCAATAAAGTTGTGGTCTTTTTTAGCCCATTAACCTTAATATTTGTGTCATTATTTCTACTGGGGAGGGGGGGTCGGGAACTCGCCACACAAACCTATGCCCCCACTGTGGAAGGATGTGTGGATCCAGAATTGGCCTCCACAATCACTTACGGATTCACTGATAAAACCATGTTCATGGAAGACAATCTTAATTGCCAAAGAGAAAAGAATGAAGAGAGCAGAACAGAACATTAGCCTACTGCTCACGGAAGTCCCCCCTTGAAGGCCCACATGGCACAACTCCTGAGCATCTAGGCCATCTCCCTGCATCTCAAGGTCTTGCACCAGATAGCATCCTGCATCTGGAGGTGGGGAGGCCCGAGCTCTCTCTTCCCCATGTCCTGTGTGGAAGCCCCCCCCCCCCGCCTGCCTTCAGTCTTGCCCACGACAGACACACCATCACTTACCAGGAAGGCAGCAATGGCCCCACCGGTGAGGAACCCCGCCAGCACATCGGACCAGTGGTTCCGATACTCCGCAACGCGAACCACACCCACCAGGAAAGCAGGGCACAAGAGAGCCAGGCACAGGGAGGGCTTGGCCAGCCGAGAGCCCTTCAGCCGGAAGACCAGGGTCACGTACATCTGCAGGGGGAGGGAGGAGCAACAGAGGGTCACAGTTGGAGGCTGGCAATGGGGGCAGTTGCTTAGTCTTCCTTGGAGGGTGTTAGGAACGCATAACAGAGTAGGGGGGCATTGGAGGATGCACAGCTATTATATTGCGGTCTTTAAAAAATGTAAATAAAGAAGATGGGTTTACAGTTCTTATTGCGAATATTCTGTATTGTGGAGCTTCCAGAGAGGTAGCAGTCAACTGCAGAGTCCTGAATCATTCCCCGCCCGCCCCCACTGAAATGGGCCTTAGAGCAACCAGCAATTTCCTACATTCCTGTAGCTGCCGCCACCACATTTCCCCAAGACCTGTGACCAGGTGTGTCAGCTAGAGGGGGCCAAGATACTTTGCGCCTCACAAAGTTCTTAAGGAGGGAGCCAGGCCCCCACGTTGCATCAGCGCTTCGCACTACGTGGTGCGTGCGAAATCAGCACATTGCATGACGTGTCGTGTGACATCAGACATCAGATCCCTCAGTAGTGGGGACAAGTCAGCATCCCTGCCCCTGACCACTGTGCCTCCTCCCTAATTCTCTCCCCCCTCTCTCTTTCTCTCTCTCTCTCACCCCCCCCCAATGGAAAGCTCAGTACACACAGCACTGCTTTAACCCCAATTGAAACAGTGTGCCCCATATCGGTTCTCCTGTGGGAAGGCTCCTTTTCTTCATTCTCCGGGGGGGGGGGGGGCTGACCAGCCCACATATCTGGGGTCGGGAAAGGTTCTCTGCCAAGTCAGTTTGGCCAGCAGTGCATCTGTGCATGTGCGTCTTTCTTCCTGCAAGACTCGTCTGCTTTGTTCTCTAGAGCTGGTTGTTCAGCTTATTAATCATGTTAATAATGAAAATCTTAATAATAATAAATCTTAATCATGTAAATTTTAATCATGAAACTAGCGAGTGCACAAAGCTAATAAATAAGCAAGCCCCTTTCTGCAGTGCTGCATGGTCTGAATTGCACTGTGTTTTATATGCAGGAAGAAGCCTAATGGGGAAGCTGGCTCGGCAGCCCAGGATAGAGGCTGCTCTAATCATCTTTTGGTCTCTTCTAGTTCTTTGATATGATGAATTTCTCTCTCGTTCGCGGCTGACATCCACTGCTTGCCGCAAGACATTTTGCTGCCCAAGGCAGAGCCCATGTATCTTCTCTCTCGCCATCTCTCTCCCTCTTACACACACAAACAAACACACACAGGCAAACACTTGGAGAAGTCTTGTTTGACATGCAGATATTAAGGGCTCATCCACACTTCTTCTTGTCCCTTGCCTAGAAAGCACAGGTCTGGGTGGTTTTCTGGACCGAGCAATTTTGCCTCTGCTCTGTCGCTTTTCCTGGAAATCCTCTGTGTGGAACAAGCAGCATTCTGCAGAAAACCAATTGCCATTGGTTCCAATTCAGTAGCAGAGCAAATGGAAGTTTGGATGAGCCTTTATTCCCGCCTTTATGTATTCCCACCCCATAGCAGATTGCTGCCACCACCACAGCTAAAGTCTTTCTTGCTGATCCTGGGTGTCCCCCAGATGTTGTTGAAGAGGCAAAGGGAAATTATTTAGAAACATAGAAACAAACTCGCCGGCTGGATCAGGCCAATGACCCATCCATAGCTGCCTACTTACAGATTTGAAAATAAGGGACCAGCAGCCTCGAAAATAAGGGATCAGCAGCCAAAATAAGGGATTTTAGTCAACCACCTGAAATAAGGAGTTAAAAGGGACCAGATAATTTCCAGAGGTTGCTGCTCAAACTGATGAAATACTGCAATTAAATAACTACAAGCAGCAACCACTTTTCGTGCAAAACGAAATCCAAGCTACAAAGATGCTACCCCAGGCAGAGAGGCTCAGTTCAGCGGCCGTGAGGAGGATGGTGACGGAAGGGCCCGAGGCTCCCACCAGTCCTGGCGGGGAGGGGCTCCCGGGGGCTGAGGCTGGTGAGAGGAGGCCGGAGGGGGGCGGGCCAGGCAACCTAGCAACACAGTTGGAGCCTCCCTCCTCCCTGGCCGGCAGGGAGGGAAGGAGAGGAGCTGCTTCCTTTGAAACCCGGGAAATTTAAGGGACATCATCAATAAGGGACAGCAGCGGGACACGGTGCTGGGATAAGGGACTTTCCCGCCAAATAAGGGACGGTTGACAGCTATGGCCCCATCTAGTCCAGCGTCCTGTTCTCACAGTGGCCAACCAGATATGCCTTGTGGGGAACCAGCGAGGGGAACATGAGCACAAAAGCCCTCTCTCCTCCTGTGGTTTCCAGCTACAGGTATTCAGAAGCATAGTTGCCTCCAACTGTGGCGGTAGACCATTCAGTCTTCTCCATATGGAAAGAGGGTAGGTTCTCTGCTCAGATCAGACAACACTTTGTGACACTGCTGAGCCACCAAACCCATTTCTTTTCTGAGCCTTGATAGCAAAAGGCCCACTTTCCTCCCCTCTTTTTTCCTTCATGCCCCTCAGAAGGCACCCCAGCCCTCCCAAGGAGCCCACTTTGGGGTGGAGCAAGCAAAACCCAGAGCTGGCTGGCATGCCTTGCGATCGTAGATCAGGGCTTCCCCAGGGCTGCCATACATCCAGATTTCCCCAGACACTATCAGGATTTCGAAGGCACAAATGACGTTTGGGAGGGAATTTCCAAAAGGTGACGCTTTGTCCTGGATTTTAGGCAAGTCAATCGAATGTGTTTTTGGGGGGGCGTTTTTGTTATTAAAAACAACAACTCTACAGCTTTTGGCTTTTCCTAAAAAAAAACACAACTCAAAAATTTTGGGGTCTTCCTAACTTTCAGGGTGTCCTGGTTTTCCCTTTTTGAAATATGGAAACCCTAGATTTCCCAAATTTGAGTCTCCAGCTGTTTTGGGGCTACAACTCTCATCATCCCTAACTAGCAGGAGCAGTGGCCATGGATGATGGGAAATGTAGTCCAAAACCAGCTGGAGACCCAATTTTGGGAAAACTTGGTGTAGGTGGCCTCTGAAAGGTCGGGCCCAGCAGTCACCTCCACCACATCCAATGTGTCCTTGTGGGAAGAGATGGGCGCTTTCTTCGTACCCCTGCCACTTCAGCTCCCTCCTCACTCCGAAACCCATTTCCCTGGCCCCTCCACCCACCAGAGCCTCGTACCACAGTATAGGCTACAGCGTAGGCACTGAGAGCAGCATCCTTGGAGGGGAAGGCCTTGCGGGCGGCGGTGACCAGGACGGGGTTCCCCGTGCAGGCGGCCTTGTCCGTGACGTAGATGGTGCCTGGGGGAGCCTGGCAGCCGAGGGCAGTGTAGTTGGGTCGACACACCGACAGGAAGTGCGGAGTCTGGTTTCCGGTCACCACCTGGCCAGCGTTGGCAAAAATTGTGGTAGTGAAGAGGCCAAAGGAATAAATGCCTGTGGGGAAGGAAAGGGGAAGAAACGGGCTGAAAGGAAGGAGGTGAGCAGCTGGAGGTGGGGAAGCTGGCGTTTGTAAAAGATATATCGTCCAAAACTGGCTTGAAGTCCATATTGTGATATCGGTTTCATAATTTTTCGCCTGGCAGCAGTGCCGGATTTACGTATAAGCTAAACAAGCTGTAGCTTAGGGTCCCACTCTCTTGGGCCCCCCCAAAAAAATTAAGGGGGAAAAAACCTGGATGTACATTTCCAAAATATAAGATAAAAAACAAATAAATTAAAACCTACATACAGCAACAGTGTTTTGTGTTGTCTAGGCTCCTATGATGTAAGTCATGGGCCCCGCCTGCTAGCCTGCTCCCTAAAATATTACTGATTTGCTCATTTCTATATATAGAGTGCCTACATTCTGCTATTTATAATTATTAGTAATTTGCATGATATATTTACACCTATTATTATTTCATGTTATAGCAAGTTTATAGAGACTAGATTATAAGTAACTTGTGTTTCTAAAGGAACTTTTGTTATTGCCAAATGCCAGTGTGTTTGCATTATTAAGTTTGTTATGAATAAAAAATCATTTTAAGTTAGAGCTTAACAATTATTTCACTATTAATATACTTCTTCTTAATTGTATTTCAGTTCAACAATTACTTTGATAAAATACATATTTTGTTATGTGCAAATGGCTTTAGATACTTATTAGGCCCATAAATTACCATATAGCATATATTCAACACACAAAAACAGCGACAATTTGTTGCTGAGAAAGGACAGCTGGACATATAATGGGCCCCATTACCTTCAGTAGCTTAGGGCCTCATCAAACGTAAATCCGGCCCTTCCTGGCAGTATATAATGAATTATCATGTATGTGTGCGCTATGCAAAAATCACAATGTGGGCAAAACCATGAAGCCAGCCTATGTGTCTCTCAATTCCTGCATCTCCCATTAACTCTGCTGGATCAGCTCTCCCCTGCCTCAGGCAGGCATCAATAAATCACAAGAGCAAAACCACGATGCAGAAAACTATGAGGCCAGCCGATGCCTCTACATAGCTCCCTCCTTATTTCAGACACCATGATATAGCTGTATATCACGATGTTTAGCTGGCCTATATACTGCGATGTTGAAAACGAGATATCGCCCAGTCCTAGTGTGCATTGTGTGTGGAACGTAGTGAGCTTTGCATCTGCAGAACGTCTGCTTTGCAGAGAATTGTCGCAAGTGCAAATAAAGGTGCTATTGAAGCTAAAGCTGCCACAAGAGGATGGAAACTTTGGGGCCATCCACACTTTCATTTGGGGACGTGGGTGGCGCCATGGGTTAAACCACAGAGCCTAGGACTTGCCGATCAGAAGGTCGCCTGTTTGAATACCTGTGATGGGGTGAGCTCCCATTGCTCGGTCCCAGCTCCTGCCAACCTAGCAGTTCAAAAGCATGTCAAAGTGCAAGTAGATAAATAGGCACCGCTCCGGCGGGAAGGTAAACAGCATTTCCGTGCACTGCTCTGGTTTGCCAGAAGCGGCTTAGTCATGTTGGCCACATGGCCCGGAAGCTGTACGTCGGCTCCCTTGGCCAATAAAGTGAGATGAGCGCCACAACCCCAGAGTCGGCCACGACTGGACCTAACAGTCAGGGGTCCCTGTACCTTTACCTTACACTTTCATTTGTCCCATGATTTCATGTCACAGGTCCAAGAGGAATATATTTTTTGTCCCGCTGCTTTCCCCACAAAACCTTGTCGTTTACTGTCAAATTGGAACAAACCTCAATCGAGTTTTCTCTTCCAATTCAGCAGTAAACAGCTCCTTTTCCTGAGGAAAGGGGTGGGACCAAAAAAACCCAACCTCTCAGATCTGTGATTTGAAAACACTTGAAATCATGGGCTGAACAGAAGTGCAGATAGGCCTTTTGCTTCAGTATTTATGTTAACTGATGACTGGGAGACTGGGCCTCTCTTAGAAACTGCCCACATATTGCCAGATAACTTGCTTATTTGTGTCTCTCTCTGGGACCAGAGAGAGAACAGTCCTTAGGTAAGAACCTAAAGAAAACTGGACTGCATTGCTAGTTGTTTAAGAGCAATGAGCTGATTTGTATTTTAGTCGGTTACCTTTTTTTTGTAACCAGTTTAAAGATGGTTTGCAATAAAACTTTGGAACTCTGTTTTTTCTCAGCGTGGAGAGCTTATTGATCCATATTCTGCACAAGGTCCGGATCAGGGAATTCTGCTCACATAACTCTTAACAGGGTGGAGCTGAAAGTGGGGAGGGAATCTTGGGAGTGACCTTGAGGCAAGAAAACGAGGCAGCATGGTAAAGTCATCTTTCACTTACCCAGAAAACGAATGATGCGCCGTAGAAGGGGGTTGAAATAGCAACACTCTCCTGAGATGATTGTCTTCTCCTCACGTCTCTCAGGCTGGAGGAAGAAGGCAGCCAGTTCTCCAACAAGAATCTGAGGCAGGCAGGTGAAGGGTAAGAGAGAGAGAGAGAAGATAAGCTTTGGCCAAGTCATTAACCACCGAAGTGAGAAAGAATCTGTTTCTTTGACAGTGCTTCTGACACAGTGATTTTACACCACTTGTGGGTCCAACACACTTATTTAGCAAGATGGGGCTCACTCTTTATCGGGGTATCCATTTCTGAGACCATAAATGCCTGAAACAAATATATGGGCACTTGCTGCAGAAAAAGATGTGACTAATTCTGCGCTTTGACCCTGGTCCCCAGCTGAGTCCAATTTAAGTCTGCTCCTGTTGGCAGAGATGCTGTTATTGCTATTGTTATTGGCCTTTATTGGCATAAGTTTAAGCAATAAAATCATACAATGTCATCCAAATACATTTATAATCCAAAACACACACAATATATAGATAAAGTCTAGATAGCCGCCATTGAGTAAATCAGGCCACTTTAGACTTAGCTTAAAAAATCTCGGCAAAATACCCCAAAACAATCTTGGTAGTTTCAGGAGTATCATCCCTCAATAAATATTGGATTACAGACTCTTTGTAAATTGATATTTTAGGATGTAAGGAAAGCACAAGGAGATCTCTGCCAAGGGTGTCGAGACGAGGGCAGTCCAAAATTATGTGATGTATCTGGTGTTTTCTTATTACAGGAGCAGAATCTGTTCTGGAAGGGTTTTTTTGGAAACCTTCGGAACAAAACAGATGAGGGGTGTTATGTACTGAAGTTCTCACCCTGGGCCAGCAGGGGGATACTGTAGATAGTTTTCACTCAGGTCCATGTATGCAAATAAGGAATTGAAAGAGACGTTCAGTGATTGAATAGTTACAGAAAGTGGTTACAGTTGCGTTGTAGTGGAGCTCTATATAAGCAGGCTGGCTGAACCCTTCAGTTCAGTTCTGTTCTGGCCTGTGAATAAACAAGAGCTGTCTGAAGAATCGCTGTGTCGTCTGATATGTTCACCCACAACTTAACAAGGGGAATGCATTTAGACGAGCTAGCATAAAAGCTCTGCGATGCAATATCTAGATTATAAAAGTAATTAGGCATTACTCCATGGTAGGGCTGCAATCCTAAGTAAGCAGATGAACATACAAAAGGCTGGGGGGGGGTAGAGTTTTGGGATTTCATGGTCTAGCAGTCTCTGTTTGATGAGAGAAAAGATTTGTGACTCATCCGATAGAAGAAGGGAATCTATTGCAATCCCTATTTGCCCGAGTTTGAGGGAAATATCAGAAACCATGTAAAATTATGTGTATCTCTGCTACTAATCCTGACATTTGTTACTTAGGATTTCTCCAGACATTCTTTTTTAATCTTCAGTTACGCTCATGGTGGTATCGGAATAGTTATATGTGATCCTGCTTTCCATACTGTAAAGTGACTATGAGAGGGTCTATTATCTCATTTCAAAAATAAAAATTTAAATAAATTAAATTGAATTGAATAATCATAAATCCACATTTCCTCCCCCCCCCTAAATAAAATACAGTCATACCTTGGTTCTTGAACACCTTGCGAGTTGAACGTTTTGGCTCCCAACGCCGTAAAACCGGAAAGTGAGTGTTCCGGTTTGTGAACGTTCTTCGGAACCCGAACGTCTGATGCAGCTTCTGATTGGCTGCAGGAGCTTCCTGCAGCCTATCAGAAGCCACGCCTTGTTTCCCAAACGTTTTGAAAGTCAAACGGACTTCCGGAACGGATTCCGTTCAACTTCTGAGGTACCACTGTATATGAAATGCAGTCACTACACATATATTTAACCTCAAAAAAATTACACACACACCCAACTAAAGAATAGTTCTTTTGGAAAAACCGGAGGTGTCCTTTAGCTTCTCTTAGTTCCGTTTGTTTAAGCTTTTTACATTTCTGGCAGTATTGTGTGTATATACATTAATTATGCGCAGGCATTTATTTTTATTTCCATGCATTAAATTTGTATACCGCCCTTTATCTGAAGATCTCAGGGTGGTTCACAGCATAAAAATACAAATATCCCTGAATTTCAGCATAGACTTTCATGGACCACAGACTACTTTGGGGGTGGGGGAACCTGCTCATCTTTTCTCCACATTTCACATGTTGGTATGTCAGAAGGTGTGGTTTAAATGTTGTGGGAAGCCCAGGGTATACAGTCACACGATGTACCAGCCAAGAGGACTACTTTGGGGGGTGAGCAGGAATATTTAATCTTTCTTTCAGACATCTCTGAACAGTCTGCTTGGCAAAGAGTTCTTTGCAACAGCCTCTGGCCCATTCACCCACCTGCAGGTTTTTAGCCCAAGAAGAGTCACAATCTCACTTAATATTTCACTTCCCCAGTCAGTTAGTAAGGGAGTTACAGTGGTACCTCGGCTTACGAACTTAATCCGTTCCAGAAGTCTGTTCTTAAACCAAAACCATTCTTAAACCGAGGCACACTTTCCCTATCTATATCACTTCCCCACTAGATGGTACCGTGGTTGTGGGGTGGGCAGCAGCACTGAGAAACCTTAGCTAATGGAATGGACCATCAGAGGGAGCTGGGCCTATGAGGAGAGACATGCCCCATCTCTCCAACCCCAAGGGAGCAGAAGGTGCCATAAAGAGAAGCAGACAGACTGGAGCAGCAGTGAAGCCACAGATGCAGGCATAGAAATGGCTGGAGGGGTGTCAAATCACAGCTGCTGCCTTCCCCAGTCTTTCCCTCTTCCTGGGATGAAAGCGGGGGAGAAACAGCATCCATGGGAGGCAGAGGATAAAAATATTTCAAGAAAAAAACAGAAAAAATATATATACTCCCTCCCTCTAGAAGCAGGTCTGCCTCCCTCGTTACTGAAATTTAGGCATAGTTTGCAGGTGCAATCCAAGCTTTTGGGATTGAGTAGGGTCTTCACCATTGGGACGCAGGTGGCGCTGTGGGTTAAACCACAGAGCCTAGGACTTGCTGATCAGAAGGTCGGCGGTTCGAATCCCCGCGACGGGGTGAGCTCCTGTTGCTCAGTCCCTGCTCCTGCCAACCTAGCCATTCAAAAGCAGGTCAAAGTGCAAGTAGATAAATAGGTACCGCTCCGGCGGGAAGGTAAACGGTGTTTCTGTGCGCTGCTCTGGTTCACCAGAAGCGGCTTAGTCATGCTGGCCACATGACCCGGAAGCTGTACGCCGGCTCCCTCGGCCAATAAAGCAAGATGAGCGCCGCAACCCCAGAGTCGGTTGCGACTGGACCTAATGGTCAGGGGTCCCTTTACCTTTACCTAGGGTCTTCACCATGGTTATGTGGTTTTTTCCCATCTGTTGGACTGAGGTGATGCTATGGTTTAAAGTCTAAGGCTTTTCTAATTGTGATAATTATTATTTAATTATCATTGTCTCCATTGTATATACTCGGAACTACACGTTGATGAAGCACAAAATGGGAGGGAAGGGCGAACAAAATAAGTAAACAAATTAGATAGATATTTAAAAATAGGATTGGGGGTTCTTTATTTGTCTGCTTTTGCTGGCAGTGCAAGAGATCTCGTGACACTGACACAAAAACTCTGCACATACAGTAAGGAAAAGCATAAAAGATCATTATCCCCTCTTCTTTTCTCCCCCTCTCCCCGTTTCTCCCCCCCCCCCCACATCTCACAAGGTCTATGACAGCAGAGTCTCATGCCGAAGGTAACAGACCTGTAGAAAGTACTCTATGAATTGAAAACAGAGATGTTAAATGTATCCTTGTTAATGATGAAAATCCTTCAGTAAAAACAAACAGAAGGCTTGCAAAGGAATGGCCAAAGGCTGTGAATCACTTGGAGTATCAGAAGTTCCATTATGGGTTTTTGGACATTTCCACAAGGTTTTTGGGTACTATTTCACATTCTCCCAGGCAGGTTGAAGGTCAACAGAAATCATTGAGGGAGTCTATTTCCCCCAGGCCACTGACCGAAGGCGGAAAAAGGATTTGATCATCTGGAAGCATCCCCTAATGATAACAGCAGTATGTCGATGGAACGCGTTACCTTGAGGAAGTAGCACATTTTCCTTTTCTGGATTTTTCATTTCCACTTAGGAAAAGGCCTGACAGGAATCTGACAGTGCTGGGATGGAAGTCTAGATAGGGTTTGCCATACATCTGGATTTTTCAATATATGGAATACTGTCGTCGGTAGCAGTGCTCAGGTGGAAATCAGGAAAAACATCTGGGAAAATCCGGACGTATGGCAACCCATGTTGACAATGCTGTTTTCCCATAAAAATAGCTCAAAAATGGCATTTTTAAAAGCGATGTTGCCAAAAAAAGCTTGACAACTTTTCTGTCTGGATTTTCACAGTTTGAAATATGGCAACCCTAGTCTAGCAGGGTTATCCATTCTTATCCCATCCATTCTTAAGGAAATCAGCCCTGAGTGCTCACTTGAAGGACAGATCCTGAAGCTGAGGCTCCAATATTTTGGCCACATCATGAGAAGAGAAGACTCCCTGGAAAAGACCCTGATGTTGGGAAAGATGGAGGGCACAAGGAGAAGAGGACGACAGAGGACGAGATGGTTGGACAGTGTTCTCGAAGCTACTAACATGAGTTTGACCAAACTGCGGGAGGCAGTGGAAGACAGGAGGGCCTGGCGTGCTCTGGTCCATGGGATCACGAAGAGTCAGACACGACTAAACAACAACAACAAGTCTAGCAGGACAAGCCTTAGCAGGAAGCAACAGTTGGAATCCAGTCCAGGCTTTCTAGAGCAGAACAATATTCTAAAGGGCTTCCAGTCCACAAATGCTTTTGAACCCACATGGCAAGAATGCATCATGACAGGGCCAGCTCACCCATAAGGCAAGGTGAGACAACCACCTGAGGCAGCAGGATCCACAGGGGCAGCAGATCTCAGTGTAGATCTTTATTCCCTCCTTGTTCTGATGTAGATCTTCATTCCCCTCTTATTCCCTGGCAGCGTTAGGCGTCATTTTGGGGTTTACCTCCGGTGCCCAAATGTCTTTCCCTGACTAAAGAGGACAACAACATTTGGTAGACTTCGGATAAAAATAGGATGGTGTGCAGAAACATTTCCTGAGTTGAACCTGTGTGCACCATCAGAGGCATTATGCTTCTGAATACCAGTTGGTAGGAATTGCAGGTGTGGAGAGTGCCGCTGCACTGATATTCTGCTTGTGAGTGTCCTAGTGACGCAGGTGGCGCTGTTTGAATCCCTGTGACAGGGTGAGCTCCCATTGCTCTGTCCCAGCTCCTTCCAACCTAGCAGTTCAAAAGCACGCCAGTGCAAGTAGATAAATAGGTACCACTGTGGCGGGAAGGTAAACAGCATTTCCATGTGCTCTGGCACTTGTCACTCCATGCACCAGAAGTGGTTTAGTCCTGCTGGCCACATGACCCGGAAAGCTTTCTGTGGACAAACGCTGGCTCCCTTGGCCTGAAAGCGAGCTGAGCGCCACAACCCCATAGTTGCCTTTGACTGGACTTAATCGTCATGGGGTCCTTTACCTTTTCTTTTTACTGTGGGCATCCTGTAGGCATCTGGTTGTGTACTGTGAAAACAGGATGCTGGACTAGATAGGCACTGGATCTGATCCTTCAAGCTCTTCTTATGTCCTTACCCTGTTCTTTCGGTCACCCTTTAACAAACACCCAACACCCAAATTGGTCTACATTTCCTGCAAGGACACCTGCATCTATAGTAGTGGTTCTCAACCTGTGGGTCCTCAGATGTTGTTGGACTACAACTCCCATCATCTGCTAAATTGCAGAACTTGTTAACACAAGTTGGAAAGGATATAATCAAACAATATATCCTCTCCTGCATCCCTAAACATTCCCACAAAAACTTGTCTTTTTTTAGACAAGCTTTTTAAGTTAGGGCATTATTTTTTTTAATTAATAGGTGATTGGGAGGTTGTTACCCAAAAAACTGTGTTGTTGATTTAAATGTTGCGTCTGTACTTTGGGTATCCCACAGACAGAAGTCTGAAAATAGATCAAATGACGGCAAGATGATTGTTTTGAAAAAGCTGTTTTAAGATTGGGTTGGTCAGGATATCATTAACCAGCGACCTTCTTGCAATGTGGGTCACTGTCCTTCCTCCAAGGGAACCGTTGTCCAGACACTGACAAGAGATGGCATCTGAATTAAAGGAGGGCACTGGGATAGCAGCAGCGAGAAGAGAGTCAGACATTCAGCTTGCATGTTTAACAGAACGGTAGGGTAATATTAACTCTAAATGTGTGCAATGAAGACAGTCCCAGTAAGCTTGGCTCAGTCCTACTGTATGCATATCAGTCTGCAATTTCTCCTGCATATTAATTCATGATGCACTTAAGATGAGATCCAGTATGATGGACTGGCGAAAGGGTTTGGCTGTGGGTGTAGGGAGAACTGGGTTCAAATACCTGCTAAGTGCTCTTAAGCCAATCCCTGTCTCCCACTCTCTCCCACTTTACCAAGATGGTGTGAGGATACATGGGAAGAGGGAGGAAGATCTGCACATGCTGCCTTGAGCTCCTTACAGGAAGGGTGGGATTAAAATGTAACAATAGATTAGATGAATAAATTTGAGGTGGAGCATTGCAAATTCTCAACATACACAAGAGTAAGGATGTAAGGACATTTCGGTTCTGGTTTTCTTGGTTTCCTATTTTTCCATAGTTCTGCAAATTTCTCCTAATTAACATATTTTATACGTAGTTTTGACACACGTTTGTGTCAAACATACAATGCTATTGTATGTTATTTTCAGTAATATCTTCATTTCTATGCACCCTTCCCCCTAATACATGCCTTTTTGTAAACATTGGTTGGTTGGAGAACTGCATTGCAAAGTTCAGGGACGTGTGAATTTCAAAGGATAGCTGTGTTTTGGTAAGCATATTGTTCTAGAAAATGTGGATTTCATGGATTCAGCTTTAAATGAAATCCAAATTTAATTTCTCCTCTATCCCTATATGTGAGTGTCTTGCTCAGACTTTTTTTGCGTGTAGCGGCAGTTCTTGAAGAATTCATACATTATAAATTCCTATACAAAGTGGCCGGACTAGAACCTCCAGGGCGAACGCAAAGCTTGAAATGTGTGCCTCCAAAGTTTGCAATGTAGTGTTCAGCTAATAAAATGTACCAAAATGCATAATTTAGGGTTGTGTGTGTGTTTGTATGTATGTGTGTGTGTTTTCTCAGAAAATGCATTCCAAAATACTATTTAAGTTCACATTTAAATATGCATTTTTGTAAGGACTTTTTTCATAATTGCAGATTAATGCAGAAATGGGACAGTACTGTCTTATGAATGAGAACAGGTCAAATTCATGCGCCCGAAATGGACAAATCTGCCCAACCTTGGTGGGTAGTCACAGCACACCTACATCTCAAGCATATTTCTGCATGTGTGTGTGTCCGGCACATTTGATCTACATGCCAGAATGGCTCTTGAATTCTAGTACAAAAGAAAATGACTGAACAACTCCACACCATTTTCCTGGAGGAGCTTCAAAGTTCTTTGCAAAGAAAGAGCTAGCTGTACCTCTGCTTCATTTAGCCCCTTGACTTTGATATCTGAAACCACGCTCCCTGGTGATCTTACCCCCAGAGGGAACATGTGGCCCCTAAAGCTCACAACAGCAGCAGGGGGGTTGTCACCCCTTCCACACCCACCCACCCACCACGTGCCCTGCTGGGCTCTTACCGTTACGGTGGGCACAGCAGTGACGAGAGAGTAGACGAGGACGGGAGGTGCCCGGCTTGTGTCTTCGGGGCCAGGGTAGGGCTTTGCGTAGGCACTGTCGTAGCAGAAGAAGCCTTGGAGGTGCACCGGGAAAGTGTTCGTGTATTCAAAGTGGTACGCCAGCACCACAGTGCCCGCCATAATCACCAGCTGGAAGTAGAACATGGCACATCAGGCAGGGAAGCGGCGCTGAGGACTGAATGGGAGACGGAGGCAGCCAGGAGAGCCGGGTCCCTGGAGCCGCTGGAGCCTGGCAGCCCCCACCCCGCCCTCTGCCTGCTCCTCCGTGCAAGATTCCTCGTGTACTCCTTTTCACGCTTGGGTGCCTGCTGTAGCTGTGCATCACATCACGGCTGGCGGGAGAGGCACCGAGCCTGCCTGACTCAAAGTCAGGCAGACAGTTGCCTCCTTCTGATGCAACCCCTCCTCCTCCTGCCCCCCCCTCCCGAGCACCCAATAACTCCCCGGGCTCCGTTCCATATCCTGGCGATTTACTGCAGATGATCGCAGGGAGAGGGTAGGTGTCTGAGACCACATGTAGGTGACCACTGCCAGGTGTGCGTGCAGGAGCCAAGCCCTGTGACCAACAGGACTTTGCAGGACTGGGGCCTTCCTAAGTTTGTTCTGAAGAGGCAAGGCGCAGCCTCACAGGTGAGGCCGATTGGTAACTCACAGCACCTGGTGGCAAGAGCCAAGAAAATATATAAGGTCAGCATTTCCCTTTGGCTCTTTGCCACAGCAACAAGCTCCCTGTCTTGCTTCCTGATCCTTGAACCTCAGCTTCTTGATCCTCAGACCCTTGACTTCTTGACTCCTTGCGTACTGATCCTCGATCCTCAGACCCCTGACTTCGTGCCTCCTTGCTTCCTGACCTTCAGACCCTTGGCTTCTTGACTCCCGGCTCTCTGACCCTTGGACTCTTGGCTTCCTGACTCCTGGTTTCTGGAGCGCCGTTCCTACTCCCACCCCGCCATCTTGCCTCTGGTCCTGATGTCCCCTGCCGGGACTTTGATCGCCTGTGAACCGGACCGTGGCAACCGCATTTTCAGGGTCTTGGGAGTGGAAGGGCAGAGCTCTCATCCACCTGCCACTTTTGTTTCCCATCCCTGCCAGCCTGCCACAGCCAGGCAACTTTTCAAATGGCACCCCATGTGAGTGGCACATGTGAAGGAGCTCTGTGCAAGGAAGGGGCAGCGGTGTCTCACTGCTGACACTGCCACAGAGATGTACACCTCATTGCTGGTCTCCCTCTGCTGGTCTCCCTCTCCAGATTGCGTGTGGAGGTCTGGAGTGGGGAGGTCTATGTCTGTATGCCCCTCTTCAGACGACCATACTCAACATCTCCCAGAGTTGCTCCTGGCTCCATGGGGTTGGCTGGGTGTGGAAAGAGAGGCCCTTGCAAAATTAGCAAGGAACCATAGAATTGTTGACTTGGAAGGGATCTCAAGGATTATCTAGGTCAACCCCCTGCAATATAAGAAACACCGCTAAAGAATCTCGGACACATGGCCATCCAACATCTGCTTAAAACCCTCAAGGAAGGAGAGTCCACCACTTTCCCAGGGAGTCCATTCCACGGTCGAATGGCTCTTACTGTCAGAAAATTCCTCCTGATGTTTAGTCAGAATCTCCTTTTTTGTGATGTGAATCCATTGGTTTGGGTCCCAACCTCTGTGGCAGCAGAAAACAAGCTTGCTCCATCTTCCATGGAATAGCCCTTTAGATCAGGGGTAGGCAACCTAAGGCCTGGGGACCGGATGCGGCCCAATCGCCTTCTCAATCTGCCCCACAGACGGTCCGGGAATCAGCATGTTTTTACATGTGTAGAATGTGTCCTTTCATTTAAAATGCATCTCTGGGTTATTTGTGGGGCATAGGAATTCGCTAATGTTTTTTCCCCCAAAATATAGTCTGGCCCCCCACAAGGTCTGAGGGACAGTGGACCAGCCCACGGCTGAAAAAGGTTGCTGACCCCTGCTTTAGATATTTGAAGGTGGCTGTCATCCCCTCTTGGTCTTCTCCAGGCTAAACATACCCTACTCCCTGAACCATTCATCATGAAGCATGTGCAGCATCAGTCTCTGCACCCCAGCAAAGCAACAGTGCTGACCCAGCAACTGAGGGAACAACTGTGTGCAATCATGGGTCCCTGTTGATATTCCAAAGGCTGCTGCAGCAAAATTGCTTAGATTGCGCTGAGCAGCTGCTCCAGGACTGGCAAAATGCTCTGCGCTGGACATGAATAAAATACTTCGAACGGCTTCAAAGGACTTGGAAGCACAGTTAATGCGAAACACGATATGTTCAAGCACATTGCTGAACAATGATTCTTCAACATCAACTTTGTTGGACTGGTCATGTTGTGCGGATGCCTGATTATTGTCTTCCAAAGCAACTACTCTATTCCAAACTTAACAATGGAAAGCATAATGCTGGTGGTCAACAAAAGAGGTTTGAAGACTCTCTCAAGGCAAACATTTCAAAAAATTTAGTATAAACACTGACAATTGGGAAACACTGGCCTGCGAGTGCTCCAATTGGAGAACGGCCTTTACCAAAGGTGTCATGGACTTTGAAGACACTCAAACTCAGGACGCAAGGGAGAAACGTACTAAGAGGAAGGCATGCTTGACAAATCCACACTCTGATCAACTCCCGCCCGGAAACCAATGTCCTCACTGTGGAAGGACGTGTGGATCCAGAATTGGCCTCCACAGTCACTTACGGACTCGCTGTTAAAACCGTGTTCATGGAAGACAATCTTACTCAGCTACGAGTGATCGCCAAAGAAGAAGAAGCACCCCTTAACTACAGCATTGGGGTTGTCCTTGCGCAACTGAGCCCTGGAGGCCTAACTAACCCATGCCGGCTACTCCTTTCTCAGTACCTGGGAAACAGTCACATGTTCATTTGGCTAAATCCAGTGGCATCCTTACCTCTACAAACACAAAGCAGGGGATGATGGAGATGCTTCTCTTAAGCTCCTGCTTATCACCAGCCATGGCGACAGGGCCCGGATCTCTCCTCAAGGAAAGACGTAAACTACAGAAAGGAGATACCAAAGCAAGTTGGTCAAGTGGCTTCCGGACAAGCAAGAATATTGCTACGCGCCATTCCTCTCTCTGAAAAGTGTGAGATTCCAGGCACTTACCCAGGATTCATGTTTCTTTCAGAAATTAGGTAAAGGCTGAGGTGTCTTTACAATATATGGTTTTATTTACACAACCTAGATGGAGGGATTGCAGAGCATTTGCATCCTATGATGGACACAGGTGGCGCTGTGGTCTAAACCACTGAGCCCCTTGGGCTTGCAGATCAGAAGGTCGGTGGTTCAAATCCCCGCGACAGGGTGAGCTCCCGTTGCTCTGTCCCAGCTCCTGCCAACCTAGCAGTTCGAAAGCACACCAGTGCAAGTAGATAAATAGGTACCACTGCGGAGGGGAGGTAAATGGCGTTTCTGTGCGCTCTGGCTTCCGTCACGGTGTCCCATTGCACTAGAAGCGGTTTAGTCATGCTGGCCACGTGACCTGGAAAGCTGTCTGTGGACAAACGCCGGCTCCCTCGGCCTGAAAGCGAGATGAGCGCCACAACCCCATGGTCACCTTTGACTGGACTTAACTGTCCAGGGGTCCTGTAACTTGTTTTAAAAAATGAGGGTCTGGCTTCCCCCATAAGGGCAACATTGGATTCACAAGACAGCAAAAAGCTGTCCTCTGTGTCTCTTCATTCCAACCTGTCATCCCCAGCTGACTTGGAGTTCTGCCTCTCCTTCTTGCTCCTGACTGACTCCAAAGACCTGCCCCCAGCCTATGTCATTCAAAGTTGAAACCCTAAACTCAGCTGTTGCCTCTGCCCACTAGCACCCCACAAAGGAGGACCCTTTACCTAGCAGTCTTGCCCTCTAATGGTTTCCTTGGTGAGTCATCACTGGCAGTGGCGTAGCGTGGGTTGTCAGCACCCGGGGCAAGGCAAGTAATTTGCGCCCCCTTACCCGTGGATTTGCGCCCCCTAACCCGTGGATTTGCGCCCCCTAACCTGTGGATTTGCCCTAACCCCAGATGTTGCGCCCGGTGCAGCCGGCCCCCCCTGCACCCCCCACGCTACGCCACTGATCACTGGCCTTTGTCCTTGGGTTAAACCAAAGAGCCTAGGACTTGCCGATCAGAAGGTCGGCAGTTCGAATCCCCACAACGGGGTGAGCTCCCGTTGCTCGGTCCCTGCTCCTGCCAACCTAGCAGTTCAAAAGCATGTCAAAGTGGAAGTAGATAAATAGGTACCGCTCCAGCGGGAAGGTAAACGGCGTTTCTGTGCGCTGCTCTGGTTCGCCAGAAGGAGCTTAGTCATGCTGGCCACATGACCCGGAAGCTGTACGCCGGCTCCCTCGGCCAATAAAGTGAGATGAGCGCCGCAACCCGAGTCAACCACGACTGGACCTAATGGTCAGGGGTCCCTTTACCTTTAAAGACCCACCCTGTTAGCTCTGCTGAGCTGGCTTGGCTTCTCAGCCTAACTAAATCCAGGGGGTTTCCGTGTTTAGTAAAGTTTAATCAAACTTTATTTTTAAGTTTTGCTAAATGCAGGAATTATGGAGAGGATCTAACACCCAGGTATTTAGGGGATTATGTCCCCCCCCCAATCCATAAACAATATATTCTGATTTGGTCACACACACACACACACACACACACACACACACGTTTTTCTCCAGTGCATGGTCATAATCTCAACCCTTGAAAGTCACCACTTCATGTTGCCCTGCTTTAAGGATAAGCATGCACCAATTTAAGTACGTTGTTGTTGTTTCAGCTACTCAAGCTTTGCAAAGGAAGCTCAGATTTTGTCTAGCAGCTTGGGTTTCCCAGGGCTTATTTCAGCTAGTCTGCGGAGGAGTCAAAGCTGTTTCCGTGCTTTGCTTTGGTTTTGCAAGCTGAGCCCTTGGAAAGCTTTCCTTAACTGCTAAAAATAAATCTGACCTGAAAGTCTGGAGATCAGGCTTCAAACCAGGTGTTTCAAACTCCTACTGGGAGCAGCGATGGTACAGCACGTGCGCATGCAAAGTGTTTAATCCTTGACTCGCTGCCACTTGTGCCCAAATGCTTTTTCATGTGATCCTATCAGGAGATGATAAAGAGTTTGCTGCTCCAGCCAGCTCCCACCACGGAGTTCTCTGTAGCCCCACAGGCAAGTTATTGTTCATGGTTCCTATGGGGATTTCCCCTTACCTTGTCACATTTGGATGTTCCCCATTCCACAGAAGTCGTATCATAGATGAAGGAACTGGCTGTGACCTTCTGTATATTGCTGAACTTTAACTCCCATCATCCCTGACCATTGGCCATGCTGACCAGGGCTGATGGGAGTTGGAGTCCAGCAACACCCGGAGGGCCTCAAGTTCATCATCCCTAAGCTACAGGACCAGGGTGGCATTTTGTGTGTAAGTTTGAAATGACTTCTCTTTTGAATAAGGGTGAAATTCATTGTGGAGCTCTTCAGTATACAGTGATGCCTCGCAAGACGAAATTAATCCGTTCCACGAGTCTCTTTGTCTTGCAGTTTTTTCGTCTTGCGAAGCACGGCTATTAGCGGCTGAGCGGCTATTAACGGCTTAGCGGCTTTAAGAAAAAGGAAACAAACTCGCAAGAACTCGCAAGACGTTTCGTCTTGCGAAGCAAGCCCATAGGGAAATTCATCTTGCGGAACGACTCAAAAAACGGAAAACCCTTTTGTCTAGCGAGTTTTTCGTCCTGCGAGGCATTCGTCTTGCGGGGCACCACTGTAGCCCTAAGCTAAATCTCTCCAGCCAGCTCCTGACCCTTCCTGCTCCTGGCTTGATGGCATTTATTATTTTAGTCGCATTTTCAATTGCAGGCTTCCCCTCCACTTATGCACAATGGACTCTCACACAACTGTGTTTACTAAGGTTACCAGATTGTTTTCAAAGAATCCGGGGACACTATTTTTTTTATTTTGAAAAATCATTTTTAAAAAAAAGAAAGAAGAAGTAGTAATATCTTCTCTTCTGGGTCTCTTCTAGAATAAGAATAAGAATAATTTATTATTTATACCCCGCCCATCCGGCTGAATTTCCCCAGCCACTCTGGGCGGCTCCCAATCAAGTGTTAAAAACAGTACAGCGTCTGTCGCGCAGCCTTCCTCTGGGTCCCAGCCTGATCTTTTGGAGTGCTATCTGCCGTGGAGTAGGCTCGGATCGGGCCTGGGCTCAGCCACGTGTCCTTGCCCTCCCGGAGCTCTCCTACCTCTTCTCCTGAGTGGCAGCAGTGGTGTGGCAAGGTCGGGGGCCCCCTCTTTTTTCTCCTTCCTCTTTCTCTCTCTTCTTTCTCCTTCTCCTTTCCTCCTTCTCCCTACATCAGCTCCAGGGTTTTTACTGGCCCTGGAGCGCTGCTGGGCAGTCGGCCAGGTGGCCAGGCGCTCTCGCTCCTGGATCGATTTGGGTTATGGGGGATCGGCAGTTCCCCCAGTTGACGTGCCAGGCGTCCCCAGTTCCCTCTCGGCAGTGGCAGCAGCGGTCTCAGCAGCCTGGAGCCAGCCTGGTAGCGCAGTTGGCTCTGGCTGGCTTCAGGAGCTGCTCGCTGCCGTGGCACCCACCATTGGAAGTCCCCATATGATGTGTCTTGTGCCATTGAACCAATCACGCAACATTCATTCCCTACTAAGAAATCTACAACACTTAAAATATAAATCCGGGGACATTTAATGAAATCCGGAGACATTCCAGGGACGGATTTTGTCCGGGGACAGATTTGTAAATCTGGGGACTGTCCCTGGGAAACGGGGACATCTGGTAACCATAGTGCTTACCCACAGTGCTGGGAAATAAATGATTTAATTCAAACCCGGGAATGGTGGGAGAGCTGGAGAGTCCTTGTGGCTCACGATGAGACCCTTCCCAGAGCCTAAAGAGGACGTCAGTGAGGGCAGAGGAAGCCCCAAATAGACTCAAGGCCCAGCGGGGCTTTGTATAGGCTGCCCAGCCTCCCCACCCAATGGCTGACGTGCAGGAAAGTTCAGCAACAACTGCTTTCTTGTGCGTTCTTCAGCCTCCAGCTGGTCCCCAGAGCTTCTAGATATTTTAGTCTAGATTGGAGAGAGAGCTGGAGAGCAGGAAAAAAGCAGGTGTTTAGGTGCTTTTTAGCAAATGCTCCCCATTTTACATGATTTCGGTTATGAGCACGGGAAGCCAGAACATAACCCCTACATAGGTGGGAGGGATGGAGACGGCAATGCCTGTATATTGTGTCTTTCCTCCAAGTTTCTCAAGGCTACTTACATAATCCCTGCTTCCATTTTATCCTCAGCACAACCATTCCAGGTAGGATTACTCTGAGAAATAGTGACTAGCCCAGGGTGCTGCATGGTTGGGTGGGTATTTGAACCATGGTCCCCTAAGTCCTCATCTGATGCTCTAACCACTATACTGCGCTATGCTACACTGGCTCTTACACTGATGGTTTCACATACTCTGTCATGGAATGGATGTTCCAGCATCTAGTTGAAAGAGGGCTATGGCACCTAAATGAATAAAATTAAAACAATAGCATCTTCCATTTTAAAAATGAATAAATGATACCAGGGTGGTTTGTTAAAAAGAGAGAGGATAAAATGAAATCAGTGTTAAGAATAGAAAACAGAACACATTGGTTAAAAACAGCAGGATGAAAACTAGCTGTTTCTTTTTTCAAACCTCTCTCAGTTTGAATTGCTCACACCTAAATATATGTCAGTTTCACTTCTCCTCCTTTCTCCAGTCTTAAATTCCGTTCTCCAAATTTTGCAAACAATTTGTGTGTTTTTTAAAAAAGAATCCTCATTAAAATTCATCAACATTTGATGAATTTCTATTAAATATGCCATTTTGACTACTGTAACACATTTTGGCAAGCAATTTCCCCATATGTAATGCATTTGTGTGTGCTATTTTCATGTTTCTGCACGCTTTCCCCGAATATATGCATTTTTGTAAATACTGTCTGGTTGCCAAACTGCATAGCAATATTCGGCTATGTGTGAATTTCAAAGAATACCTGCATTTTGGTTCACAAAGCGCAAATTTGACAAATTTGGCTTTAAATGGGTCCTGAGTAGAACTTCTTCACCAACCCCACTTGCACCACCCAAAATTATATTCTGCGATATTTTACACACCTAAGAATGCAATCCACACTTTCCTGCGAGTAGGTACTATTGAATAGTGAGATTTTATGTGAGTCAGACATGCATAGAGTCGCTCTGTACATCTTGACATATGAAAAATGAAAAGTCACTTTGCTGCTTCATCACATAGCCTGTACGTATTTGATTCTTCTGAGAGGCTGAAGAAGGGGTCAAGTTCTTCAAGATGATGAACCTGGTGGGATGATTCTAATGTGTTGGAGGGATCAAGGGAATAGAGTTTGTGTTCAGCAGGCTCAGAAATCCACCCCAGAAATCCAGCCTGCCCATTTTCCTGTTCCCACATATCATCGTGGACACATCTGTCAACAGAGGTGCACAAAACTGCATCTGACGGAGAATTTGAACACCTCAGAAAGAAATCCAAGTTTCCGGTTCAAAGGGAGCTCCTTTCTAGCTCTCATAGTTGCTACATTGCATTTGAATTTGTGTCAATAGTATCTGGGGAGAAAAACTGTAGTTCAATGTAGTACATAAGCATAGTGAACTGGGGTGTGTGGGCATCTGCGCAAACTTATATACAGAGCCATCCCAAGACATTTTGCTGCCTGAGGTGAAGGACATTACAGTCATACCTCCGCTTACGTAGAACCTCTGGATACATAATCTTCGCGATGCGAACACGGCAAACCCTGAAGTATTTTTCTGGGTTTCACCATACGTGCATGCACAGAAGCGCTTTACGTGCCGTGCACATGCACAGAAGCGGTCCCCTAGTTGCGAATTCCTCGGGACGCAGCTGGACCTCTGGAATGGATCCTGTTTGCAACTGCAGCTAGCAATGTATGGTGTTCCTGTCAGAAGTGGACTGGACTGGTAGCTGACCTGAGGGCAACAAACTAGGTATCCCCACGACGGAGTGAGCTCCCGTTGATCTGTGCCAGCTGCTGCCAACCTAGCAGTTTGAAAGCACGCCAGTGCAAGTAGATAAATAGGTACCACTGTAGTGGGAAGGTAAATGGCATTTCCGTGCGCTCTGGTTTCTGTCACGGTGTCCTGCTGCGCCAGAAGCAGTTTAGTCATGCTGGTGACATGACCGGGAAAGCTGTGGACAAACGCCGGCTCCCTCGGCCTGAAACCAAGAGGAGTGCCGCACCCCATAGTCACCTTTGACTGGACTTAACCATCCAGGGGTCCTTTCCCTTTTTAAAAAACCTTTTTTTAAGATACAGGGCACAGACCCAAACAGTTCTGATACCACCGGTATCTCCTAGCATGCACTGCCTGAGGTAACCTCACTTTACTTAAAGGTAGGGCCGGTGCTCCCGTGTGTGTGTGTGTGTGTGTGTGTGTACACCCACACCCACACACTGTATTATACAGTCATACCTCAGGTTAAAGTCGCTTCAGGTTGAGGGTTTTCAGGTTGCGCTCCACGGCGACCCGGAAGTAATGGAACACATTACTTCTGGGTTTCACCGCTCGCGCATGCACAGACGCTCAAAATGACGTCACACGCATGTGCAGAAGCGGCGAATCGCGACCCGTGCACGTGCAGACGCGGGGTGCATTCTACTCAGGATGCAAACGGGGCTCCGGAACGAATCCCATTCGCATCCAGAGGTACCACTGTACACACAGATGGGCCAAGTCAATAGGCAGCTGCAACTTCCATGTCCTTTAGGCTGGCATCCTATGCATGCTTACCAGGGAGCAAGAACTCAGCAGCCCTCATAACCAGGCTGATTATGGTTTAATGAAAGTTTCTGCCTCACTATAACGTTACAGAACCATTGACCAGCTCATGCCAGAAGATCGATTAAAACAATAAAACCCTCGATCTCACATTTGAGGGGAAAGGGAGGAGCAAGCCATGAGTAGAATTGTTACATTTTTTATCAATTTCTAGAGGACTTAACACGGTTTTATTTCAACAAATGTTAACTTTCAGCAGTTATTTTGGTCTCTGCGTTTTAGCATACAGCAAGAGGGAAATGGTATATAGCTAACGCTGGCTTCTAGGACTTGGGAAATGGGTCCAATTGTCTCCGTGTTCCCACCCAGTTGGGCCCTGCAATTGCCTCCCTGCTTCCTTCTCCCTGTTCCTCTATTGCTCCCCTCTTACTTCCTGGCCTCCGTCTCCATGTTTCTCTCCGGCAACAGAATCTGAAAACTCAAAACGCCCTGAGGCACAACTCTGGACGAGGTAAGTGTTTTTTTAGTATACTGTAGTGATTAGCAGACCTCATTCTGAGCAAAGAATCAGGTTTCTTTATAGTGCAGGTTTTGGATTGGGGAGATTTGCAGCAGAGGATCGCCCCTATTCTAAATAGTAAGACTCAGAGACGTATGTGAGAACACCCTCAAGTCTTCTATTACGGGCTCAATCAATCCCAACTGTCAATCATGATAAATGCACATGGGACACAAGCTCTTTCTCTAGGTCTCTCCCATTATGAAGCAAAGGTTCTGGGTTCAACTGCCCTCCTTCCTTTCTTTTTGCACGACCACCGCACCACCAACGCCCCACCTAAAAGAACTGGAGATGACCCACCCCCAGAAGAGCAGAACCACGTCACTCCCAACACATGCCAGCTCAGTGCCACCTGTCCCAACTTTGCTAGCGGTAGGGAATTTGCAGCCATGAGAATCCAGCTGCAAAGATGCTGCTGCTGCCTGCCCCCTCCTCCTCCTCCTCAGTCCAGCATCCCATCGCCGAGAGCAACTCGCCAGCCCCATGAGCCAAGATTAAGACGCGAAGTCTGCCTTGCTCCGTCTTCCTGACAAACGGAATCTGCTTACTGCTGGGCTGCAAAGAACGAGCGCCAGCAAATCTGCACCCGTGTCTGTGCGTGTATACACACACAGTGACAGACACACCAACAAACAACACACACACACATATCTCTGCACCACCATCAGAGTGTGTAACTTAGCAACGTGGCCTTTAAAACAGAAATGCAGACACACACATATATATATATATATATATATATATATAATACACACACACACACACACACACACACAGAAAGAGAGAGCCCAGTAATTGTCAAAGCTGTGACAATGACTGTATGGATAACTGGGGTTTGGGGTGGGGGGAGAGGGGAGAGGGGAGAAGGAAACAGAAAGAGGCAATTGATGCTTCGAAAACGGAGAGCCCATTTGACACAGGATGAAGTGAGACTCTGCCCCCCCCGCCCCCCCCCCCCGGCATCACATCAGCCCCACAGCCCAGCCACTGCATCTCTCACCTTCTGTATGTCAGTGAGTGTTGTGTATTTTTTAGGCAGCAGCCATGGCTTCCTCGGCCCACATCCAATCTCTTCTCCTCCTCGCTCTCTTCCTCCTCTCCTAAGCAATTTCAACGGTCTGCAGGATGCAGCGGGGAATCCATGCTGATCATGCCAATATCCCAATTAGAAGCTGGACCGCTGGATTAAAACGTTGTTTCGTGTTAGCAGCTGGAGTCCTTCCAGGGAGAGGAGAGGAGAGGGGGGGGGAGCAACACACATATACACATGCATGCACGCGCACACACACACACAGGGAGGAGAGAGGGGAGAGGAGAGAGGATATTTCAAGGGGGAGAATTCATTGAAATGCTGCCTGTGTCCGCTCTGGGTCAGAAGGGCAAGAGGCGCAACCTAGACGGCTTCACTGAAATCCATTCGATTCTCCATGTCTGCGACCAGCCTGTACTTGCAATCGTGTTGGCCTCTTTCGCTCTGCTGTTGAAAAGTAACTCCCAATAGCTACGGGTTGCCCTCTTCTCTTGCCCTAAATGGTCGAGCTCTGCTTGTGAATTTCTTCCTATTTTACAGACAGGAAAGTTAAGGCACTAGCTGACCGAGCCTGGCTTACTTACCAGGCGTGTACCAAGAGCAAGTGCCAAATCTTCACATTGTCAAGCTAGCACATTTGTTTCGAACCGAACAGGAAACGCCAAGGTTTAATTACTCCAGAGTGGAAACCGTAATTCAGCCAGGCATTGCGAATTAAGTTGGTATGAAAAGCACCTTCATCTTCTGAACTCTCGACAACAAGGCTTTGCCCAGAAGGTCGGCGGTTCGAATCCCCGCAACAGGGTGAGTTCCCATTGTTCGGTCCCTGCTCCTACCAACCTAGCACTTCGAAAGCACGTCAAAGTGCAAGTAGATAAATAGGTACTGCTCCAGCGGGAAGGTTTCCGTGCGCTGCTCTGGTTCGCCAGATGTGGCTTAGTCATGCTGGCCACATGACCCGGAAGCTGTACGCCGGCTCCCTCGGCCTATAGAGCAAGATGAGCGCCGCAACCCCAGAGTCATCCGCGACTGGACCTAATGGTCAGGGGTCCCTTTACCTTTACCTCATTTTAGCGCTTTAGCAAAAAATAAAATAAAAAAATCATGCCTCAGAAGCAGGAATCACCCTCTGGATACAGCACTCCCAAGGATGGGGCCAGCTGGACTCTGTCTTAGGGAACGTAGTTAGGGATCCAATTCTCTTGACTCCGATCTGGGAAAGTATTTGAGGTTGTTGCTTTTAAGAGCAACACATGGAACCCAGTTATGGAGAGGTCGCCAGAGGGGTCAGCACTGGTTCCTTGGGGATCAGAAGGGCCCATTGGCGGAAGGAAGAAACTACCCCGACCAGAGAAGAATGGCAAACCAAGTTGATGGACTATGCCGAAATGGCAAAATTAACTGGAAGCTCAGAAATCGAGAAGACAAGAACTTTAACGAGGAATGGGAAAAGTTTATAATGTAGTTACGAGACCGCTGTAAACGGGTGAAAACATTAGCAGGATTTTAACCACGCTTATAAAGTAATGGAAAGTATGGATAATTTAGAAGGATTAAAAAATTGGATAAGTACGGATATGCAGTTGTAAAAAATACTGTGAGGAGCCATGGAAGGGATGGGGGGAAGTCAGGAGATTCAGAGCAATCTCAACATTTGGATTCGGAATTGCTTTTTGTTGTATGTATATACAGTGGATGCTCGGGTTGCGAACGTGATCCGTGCGGGATGCACGTTCGCAACCTGCAGCGTTTGCAACCCACGTCTGCGCATGCCCGGGTTGCGATTCGGCATTTCTGCACATGCGCAAAGCGCGATTTAGCACTTCTTTGCATGTACGACTGCCGAAACCCAGAAGTAACCCATTCTGGTACTTCTGGGTTTCGGCAGTACGTAACCCGAAAAAACACAACCTGAATCAGCTGTAACCCGAGGTAAGGTAAAGGTAAAGGTACCCCTGCCCGTACGGGCCAGTCTTGACAGACTCTAGGGTTGTGCGCCCATCTCACTCAAGAAGCCGGGGGCCAGCGCTGTCCGGAGACACTTCCGGGTCACGTGGCCAGCGTGACATCGCTGCTCTGGCGAACCAGAGCCGCACACGGAAACGCCGTTTACCTTCCCGCTAGTAAGCGGTCCCTATTTATCTACTTGCAGGAGTGCTTTCGAACTGCTAGGTTGGCAGGCGCTGGGACCGAACAACGGGAGCGCACCCCGCTGCGGGGATTCGAACCGCCGACCTTTCGATCGGCAAGCCCTAGGCGCTGAGGCTTTTACCCACAGCGCCACCCGCGTCCCCGTAACCCGAGGTACGACTGTACTTTTAAAAATCAAATTTACACACACACACACACACACACACACTCTGCCACTGGGGGAACCTGCCCGGTTTTGCTGCACATTGACACACACACACAGCCAGGACAGATCCCTGACTGACGTCACCAGCAGAGCTTTGAAATGGGAGGCAGGTTGGTGTGTGGCCTCAATGCATGTTGACCAGTCACCACCTCTGACACATTAGTAGCACCTTTGCTACATTTCAAGTCACATTTTTATGTTGCTGTACACACCAGAGCTAGACAGCACCTTAAAAAGCAAAAAAAGCAGAGACATCACCTTGCCAACAAAGGTCCATATAGTTAAAGCTATGGTTTTCCCAGTAGTGATGTATGGAAGTGAGAGCTGGACCATCAAGAAGGCTGATCGCCGAAGAATTGATGCTTCTGAATTATGGTGCTGGAGGAGGCTCTTGAGAGTCCCATGGACTGCAAGAAGATCAAAGCTATCCATTCTGAAGGAAATCAGCCCTGAGTGCTCACTGGAAGGACAGATCCTGAAGCTGAGGCTCCAATACTTTGGCCACCTCATGAGAAGAGAAGACTCCCTGGAAAAGAACCTGATGTTGGGAAAGATGGAGGGCGCAAGGAGAAGGGGACGACAGAGGACGAGATGGTCGGATAGTGTTCTCGAAGTTACCAGCATGAGTTTGACCAAGCTGCGGGAGGCAGTGGAAGACAGGAGTGCCTGGCGTGCTCTGGTCCATGGGGTCATGAAGAGTTGGACACGACTAAATGACTAAACAAAAACACCACCACACACCAGAGAGGTGGGAGGGGGAGTCTTTACCTGATGTGCATTACTTAATTTGTTTCCCTCTCCCCCCCCCCACAAAAACCTCCTCCTCTGCAAGGAAGACGCCATCTGTGCGCAAGCTTTTCTCATGGCTCGGCGGCTGTGCCTTGCCAAAATCCGATCCTACCCGCTGAATCGGACCTTGTCAGATGAGCAGAGCGTCCAAAGAGAGGTTTTACTTCCATGGATTTTCAGTTCAGTGGGTGAGAGGGGACTTTCACAAAAACACAGCAGCAGAACAATGAGAAAAGCTCTCAGGCCCGGGGGGAATTAATTGGTAGACGATCAAAATGTGGGTCAAGCAAAAAGTGTGGATGAGCTCATATGAAGCGGAAAGGCAAGATAAGGATAATAGCGGAAATCTTTTTGTAATCCAGCTTCTTAGAAGCAACCTGACTCATAGTGACTCAAAGAGGTGAGGGGGAAATCCTTTGTAGGGTGGGGTCCAGAGGAAGAAGCCATCGAGAGAGATACAGTGGTACCTTGGGTTACATACGCTTCAGGTTACACACTCCGCTAACCCAGAAATAGTGCTTCAGGTTAAGAACTTTGCTTCAGGATAAGAACAAAAATCGGGCTCTGGCGGTGCGGCGGCAGCAGGAGGCCGCGTTAGCTAAAGTGGTGCTTCAGGTTAAGAACAGTTTCAGGTTAAGAACAGGCCTCCAGAACGAATTAAGTTCTTAACCCGAGGTACCACTGTACTCAGCATCAGAATAGATCCCAAGGCTGCTACATTTTAAGCACAATCAAGAGAGGCTGAGAGGACGAAAGTGTGAAAAAATAACCAAAGGGAAGAAGAATCAGACCACGCTTTAAGTAGAGCAGAAAATCCCTCTTTGAAGCAGAAATAATGACATAAAGGTTAAAAAAATATGTTCCAAGGGTATTTGGGGAAGGTAGATGCCACCCTACAGCTTATCAGTGGTTTGGGATGTGGATTCTCCTATGATGGATAGGATATTATGGGGTACTCAGAAGGCCTGGAGAGAACTTGGGGGATTGCAAAATTTGCCCCAATGAGCATTCCCAAGTATCACAGCAAAGCAGAGCCAATTGACTGCAGGCTGGAGACAGGAAAAGCTTTTGACACTGCTATGTCCAAGGGGGAAAGCAAAATGGCCCGTTTAGAAGACCCTTCTGGGAAATCTGAAAATAGAATGGAATGAAAAAAGCAGCAACACCTTCAAAAGAACGCAGCAGAGCTTCCCACAGGCTTCTAGTTGGCCACTAGTTGTTGTACAGTTGTGCCTCAGGTTACAGACACTTCAGGTTACAGACGCTTCAGGTTACAGACTCGGCTAACCCAGAAATAGTACCTCGGGTTAAGAACTTTGCTTCAGGATGAGTACAGAAATTGTGCTCCGGCGGCGCGGCGGCAGCAAGAGGCCCCATTAGCTAAAGTGGTGCTTCAGGTTAAGAACAGTTTCAGGTTAAGAACAGACCTCCGGAATGAATTAAGTTCTTAACCCAAGGTACCACTGTACTAGCAACAACTGATTTAGATGTGGCTGAATGATGCACGATCATGCACACACACACACACACACACACACACACAGCACCTAACATGGAAGTAGCCCCCAAATGTCATAGACGTCACACACAAAAGGGCGGGGTGCGCTTGTGTGTGCTATGCCACATGGAGGTCTGGAACATAACCCACACACAAAACAAGGATCGTCTGCACTAGGTAGGCCACTGGCCTGATTCCAGCACACTCTGTTTATGTTGTTAAGGAGAGTATTTGCTTTGAGTGCAGAAGTCCCAGGTTCCATCCCTATTATTATTATTATTATTATTATTATTATTATTATTATTAATTGAGTCTATATACTGCCCTATAGGGACATGGGTGGTGCTGTGGGTTAAACCACAGAGCCTAGGACTTGCCGATCAGAAGGTCGGCGGTTCGAATCCCCGCGATGGGGTGAGCTCCCGTTGCTCGGTCTCTGCTCCTGCCAACCTAGCTGTTCGAAAGCACATCAAAGTGCAAGTAGATAAATAGGTACCGCTCCAGCGGGAAGGTAAACGGCGTTTCCGCGTGTTGCTCTGGTTCGCCAGAAGCAGCTTAGTCATGCTGGCCACATGACCCGGAAGCTGTACGCCGGCTCCCTCGGCCAATACAGTGAGATGAGCGCCACAACCCCAGAGTCGGTTACAACTGGACCTAATGGTCAGGGGTCCCTTTACCCTCACTGCTTTATACCCGGAGGTCACAGGGCAGTTCACAGAAAAGATCACAACATATATAATCAGAATAAAAACAACAACCCGATAATACACCCCCCCCCCCAAAAAAAGAGCCACAGTCTAAAAGGGTGTTGGATGTCACTAAGATCAACCAAAGGCCTGGTTAAAAAGGAACGTATTTGCCTGGCACCTAAAGGTGTGCAATGAAGGTGCCATGTGAACTTCCCTGGGGAACGCATTCCACAGATGGGGAGCCACTGCAGAGAAGGCCCCGTTCTCGTGTTGCTACCCTCTGCACCTCTAGAGGAGGGTTATCTCCACGTAGGGCTAGGAGAGACACCTGCCTGAACCCCCGAGAGCAGCTGCCTGTCAGTGCAAACAATACTGAGCTAAATGAGCCACCGGCGTGACTTAGTATTAGGAAGCTTCCTATGTTCCTCAGCCAATTTGCATAGTCCTATTTCCCGGAGTAAACAAGAGGAGCAACCCACACAAGGACGCCTTCGTGCATTGAAAGGCAGTTGCTTAACTCAGATCCTGCCTTTCCGCCGTTCAGACCAGCGCAGAAAGCTAAAAATAGTAAGCTGGTTCGAGCTCATTTTCAATGCAAAGGCACTTAAGGAAAACAAGATAACTTGACTAGTGAGTAGCCTTCTTCTCTTGCTGTCGCCTCGGCTCCATCGTTGGATCATTCAGCCTTAATAAAAATAATAATAAATTTTATTTATACCCTGCCCTCCCCAGCCAGAGCTGGGCTCAGGGCAGCTAACACCAGTAAAATTACAGTAAAACATAATGGGGGGGGGGGGAAACCAATTTAAAATACACGTTAAAATGCAATTTAAAATGCAGCCTCATTTTAAAAGTAGCTCATAGATCAAAACCATAAGGGGAGGGAAATATAAGGGTCAGGCTGAGTCCAAACTAAAGGCCAGGCGGAACAGCTCTGTCTTGCAGGCCCTGCAGAAAGATGTCAAGTCCCGCAGGGCCCTAGTCTCTTGTGACAGAGCGTTCCACCAAGTTGGGGACAGTACTGAAAAGGCCCTGGCCCTAGTTGAGACCAATCTAACCACCTTGCAACCTGGGACCTCCAAAATGTTGTCATTTGTGGACCTTAAGGTTCTCCGTGGTGCATACCGGGGGAGGCGGTCCCGTAAGTACATGGGTACTAGGCCACATAGGGCTTTAAAGGTCAAAACCAGCACCTTAAACCTGACCCTGTACTCCACCGGGAGCCAGTGCAGTTGGTAAAGGACTGGATGAATGTGATCCTGCAGCAAGGACCCCATAAGGAGCCTCGCCGCAGCATTCTGCACCCGCTGGAGTTTCTGGGTCAGCTTCAAGGGCAGCCCCGTGTAGAGCGAGTTACAATAATCAAGCCTGGACGTGAACGTCGCATGGATCACTGCGGCCAGATCAGGGCGAGAAAGGTAAGGGACCAACTCCTTAATATGGCAGAGATGGGAAAATGCCACCTTTGCTGTGGCTGCAACCTGCGCCTCCATGGGAAGAGAGGCGTCGAAGGTTACACCCAAACTCTTGACAGAAGGCGCTGGCACTAATTGAAGTTCACACCACACTTTAAACAAGGGAAGTAGTGTCTAATGGCCTGGCGTGCTCTGGTCCATGGGGTCACGAAGAGTCGGACACGACTAAACGACTAAACACACACACACACACACACACACACACACACACAGTGTCTAGTGGATGGAAAAGGCACAAGTGGGGACTAAGAGGCAGGGTTCAGGTACCCACTATGGGGGGGGCAGGAATGTAGCTGACCAGTTGATCCCCAGCTGCCCAATAGCAAGGACCTAGGAAAGCTATGGTTTTCCCAGTAGTGATGTATGGAAGTGAGAGCTAGACCATAAAGAAGGCTGATCGCCGAAGAATTGATGCTTTTGAACTATGGTGCTGGAGGAGACTCTTGAGAGTCCCATGGACTGCAAGAAGATCAAACCTCTCCATTCTGAAGGAAATCAGCCCTGAGTGCTCACTGGAAGGACAGATCCTGAAGCTGAGACTCCAATACTTTGGCCACCTCATGAGAAGAGAAGACTCCCTGGAAAAGACCCTGATGTTGGGAAAGATGGAGGGCACAAGGAGAAGGGGACGACACAGGACCAGATGGTTGGACAGTGTTCTCGAAGCTACCAGCATGAGTTTGACCAAACTGCAGGAGGCAGTGGAAGACGGGAGTGCCTGGCGTGCTCTGGTCCATGGGGTCACGAAGAGTCGGACACGACTAAACGACAGGAAAGGTCCACGGCTCAGGGGCAGATCACACACTCTGCACACCCCAGGGCTCCTAGTTCACCTTTAGGCATCTCTGGGTGGGACTGGCAAAGACCTCTGCTAACCAGTGTGCAGGTGATATTGTGTTAGACGAACCAAGGGCCTGAGACTTGGTAGAAAGGAGCTTTCTGGGTTCCTGTTCTAGTCATGTCCAGGACAACCTTCTTTCCAAGCAGCGCGGTTTAATTTCATCTGCACTGTCCATAATTCAGCCCCCAGGAAGGTGCCAGTCTTTCCAGGTTCCTGAGTTGAGTTTTGCTCTATACCTAAAAGACAGGATGGGAGGTGCAGTTAGTCTGCCCGGCACCTGAGTCTTATTCATTTCTTTTACTTATTGCATTTACACCCCCACCTTTCTTTGTGTATAATTTTTATTAAATTTTCTAAGAATATTCATTTAAACAACCTTAAAAGGTCAATGACTTCCCTTCTTCTATTTCCATGGTTCATTTTGCATAACATAAATGCCTGCATATTTTATATAGACTAAACCGTTCAGTATTCCATTATTACAACCATCAAAACTTGTTTACACTGTTGAATTTATCTTAATGCAGCCAACGTTTTCAAGTGTACACAATCCCCCCCCATATATTCAATCAACATTTTCCAATCTCCTTTAAACGTATGTTCTTGTTCTCTTACTCTATATGTTAGGTCAACAAGCTGTGCATATTCCATTAGTTTAAGTTGCCATTCTTTTCGGGTTGGGACCTCGACCCCCCACCTTTCCTCTGAGGCGCTCAAGGTAGCGTACCTACCTCTCTTCCCCCTCTCTGGTTTCGCCCCATTTCATCCTCACAAACAACTCTGTAGGGTAGGTTTAGGCTGAGAGTGAGAGACTGGCCTGAGGTCACCCGGTGGTCTCTTAAGTGGAGTGGGAAGGGACAGCTTGCTTTTACATCCATTTACCTGCACAGTGGTACCTTGGGTTAAGTACTTAATTTGTTCCGGAGGTCTGTTCTTAACCTGAAACTGTTCTTAACCTGAAGCACCACTTTAGCTAATGGGGTCTCCCGCTGCTGCCATGCCGCCAGAGCACGATTTCTGTTCTCATCCTGAAGCAAAGTTCTTAACCCGAGGTACTATTTCTGTTTTTGTTTTTGTAAAGATTTTTATTAGAGTTTTCAAAATATTACAAAAAGAAAAAAAGAAAAAGAAAAAAGACAAAGTAAAAACAGTTAAAAACAATTCAATCTTTCCGTGTCTTATCTTTCATTCGCTTGTTCCCCAGACCTCCTCACACCTCCCTTTTTTGTATCAAGTTCAATTAGCTGGTTCAGCAAATCCTTTCCCTCTTTGTTTTTATCCTAGTCTTTAATCTTAATATATTATAATTTTAGGTTATCCCCTGTTAACAATCCATTTTTACACATCTTTATAACATTACTGCTGAAAACCACTTAACTTCAATCCAACATCATTCTAACATTCATTAATTTTGCAGTATTTCTGTAAATAGTCTTTAAATTTCTTCCAATCTTCTTCCACCGACTCTTCTCCCTGATCTCGGATTCTGCCGGTCATTTCCGCCAGTTCCATATAGTCCATCACCTTCATCTGCCATTCTTCCAGGGTGGGTAGATCTTGTGTCTTCCAATACTTTGCGATAAGTATTCTTGCTGCTGTTGTGGCATACATAAAGAAAGTTCTATCCTTCTTTGGCACCAATTGGCCGACCATGCCCAGGAGAAAGGCCTCTGGTTTCTTCAGGAAGGTATATTTAAATACCCCGAGGTACTATTTCTGGGTTAGCGGAGTCTGTAACCTGAAGCGTATGTAACCTGAAGCGTATGTAACCCGAGGTACCACTGTATACCTGAAGGAGGGTCTCCACCCTCATTATTCCACCCGGACACTGATAAGTTACAGCGAACCAGGCAGAGGGCCTTCTTGGTAGTGCCACCCTCCCTGTGGAATGCCCTCCCATCAGATGTCAAAGAAATAAACAACTACCGTATTTTTCGCACCATAGGACGCACTTTTTCCCTCCTAAAAAGCAAGGGAAAATGTGTGTGCGTCCTATGGAGCGAATGCAGGCTTTCGCTGAAGCCTGGAGAGTGAGAGGGGTCGGTGCGCACCGACCCCTCTTGCTCTCCAGGCTTCAGGAAGCTATCCGCTAGCCACGGCTAGCGGAGCGCTGCATTAATCCCGAAGCTTGGGGCGCGCGGAGCTCAGCGCGCCCCAAGCTTCTGGGTGCCGGCAAGGTCTCGCTAGCCCTGGGAGAGCCCCGCGACGTTGCGTGGCTCTCCCAGGGCTAGCGAAGCGCCGCGCTAATCCCGAAGCTTGGGGCGCGCGGAGCTCAGCGCGCCCCAAGCTTCTGGGTGCCGGCAAGGTCTCGCTAGCCCTGGGAGAGCCCCGCGACGTTGCGTGGCTCTCCCAGGGCTAGCGAAGCGCCGCGCTAATCCCGAAGCTTGGGGCTTCGGGATTAGCGCTCCGCTCAACCTGCTTCCCGGAGCGCCGGGCGCCCTGAAAGCAGAGCTCCAGGCGCTTCGGGAACACATCCGCAGCATGGGGAGCCTTGCAGGAATTCCCCACAGGGCTCCCCACGCTGCGGATAGCAGCCTGCTGCCTGGCGGGTGGGGCGCCCTGAAGCAGAGCGCCCCTCGCGCAGGGCAGACATCCGCAGAGTGGGGAGGCTTGCAGGAGTTCCCGACAAGGCTCCCCACGCTGCGGATAGCAGCCTGCTGCCTGGCGGGTGGGGCGCCCTGAAGCAGAGCGCCCCTCGCGCCAGGCAGACATCCGCAGAGTGGGGAGGCTTGCAGGAGTTCCCGACAAGGCTCCCCACGCTGCGGATAGCAGCCTGCTGCCTGGCGGGTGGGGCGCCCTGTAGCAGAGCGCCCCTCCCGCCAGGCATACATCCGCAGAGTGGGGAACCTTGCAGGAGTTCCCCACAGGGCTCCCCACGCTGCGGATAGCAGCCTGCTGCCTGGCGGGTGGGGCGCCCTGAAGCAGGACAGACATCGGCCAGCCCCACAAGCTTGGGGGACAGCAGGGAGGCGCAGCGCCACTATCCCGCTGTTCCTCGACCTGGTTCGGTTTCCCTGACCTGCTTTTGGGGGGGAAATAAAGGGGAAAAATTTTCCTTTATTTCCCCCCAAAAAAACTAGGTGCGTCCTATGGTCCGGTGCGTCCAATCGTGCGAAAAATACGGTATTTGACGTTTAGAAGACATCTGAAGGCAGCCCTGTTTAGGGAAGTTTAGGGAAGTTTTTAATGACTGATGTTTTCATGTATTTTTAATCCCTTGTTGGAAGCTGCCCAGAGTAGCTGGGGAAACCCAGCCAGATGGGCGGGGTATAAATAAATTATTATTATTATTATTATTATTATTATTATTATTATTATTATTATTATTTAGGATGAGGAGGGAGAGAGACGAGAAACAACCTGTGGACTCACCTCTGCATTCTACGAGCTGTTCTCTGAGCTACTGTGGGCCTGATATAGGGCTGAGTCCGATAAAAAGGCCTCAGGTGAGCTACATTTCCTTTGATGTTGGCTGCCCCGACCTGTAAAAAGATCCAAGAGAGCTTTTGCCTAAAACCCTGAGCCATACATGGCTGAGCATCTCACCCCTTGCCCCTACCTTTCCTAGTGACATCCCCTCCACTCTTTCCACTAATTGTTATCACCATAATGGTCGATACACCCTTGTCATGGAATTCTACTCAATATTGATCCAGAGCAGAACTCCAACGTATAGTTAGCAGAGTTAAAAGCTCAAACACGTTGCAGGATTCCCAAAACATAGACCAGAGGCAATTGCATTTCATCCAGCAGAGCTGTACTGCTACTGAAGGCAAATGAGCACAATGGTCACAAATCTAATACATTCAGAATTAGCACTGTCCATAAGGAATCCAGTTGCAGCAGAGTTAACTTAATAAGACTAAAACTTAACACTAAGTATGCTATATACAGAACACCACACCGGAAGGAAGAGAGATCGAAAGAGAAAGTGAAACCCAGGCTCCTTCTGGCCTCACTATTATCGTCAGCATGACCTTGACAGAAAGAGATAAGAGAACCAGTTTAAGCCTTCTCTGAAAGAATAACCCAAACATCTTGAGTCTTCTGCTTGTTTCTTTCACACAGAGAAGCTTCCAGAACCCTCTTGAATTAATTAAATAGGAAAGATATCTAGACATCAGATCAATACTTTCTGTACTAAGAAATGCAAACTGCAAGCTGAAGATACAAGCCCAAAGAAGAAGTCAAGAGGGAGAGACCCCCATTGGAAAGCCATGCCAGATAGGTTGGGGTCACCCAGCCCAACGGGGCCCACACTTCATAGAATCATAGAACCATAAAGTTGGAAGGGACCGTGAGGGTCATCTAGTCCAGCCCCCTGCAATGCAGGAATCGTTTGTCCAACGTGCCTTCTTTCTTGTCCGGACCACTGCTGCAACTCACCTTTCATCCTCTGAGACCCCCTCTTGTCACTCCAGTTGCTGTTGGTGAAGGAGTTGCGCAGCGTGTTGACAGCTGACCTGTATGGGAGGAAGAGACAAGGACCTCCGTGTAGACTGCCTGCTGCTGAGACTGCAGGGCAGAAACATGACCCACCCCTTCATGGGTCTTCATTCCCCTTTGGTAGATAGTACAGGAAATAAATTCTCCAGGCTGGACCCAGGCTCCTGATCACTGTGGTCACCAGCGTCTAGCTCAGGGGTTTTGTTTTGTGTTTTTTTTTTAAAAAAAAATTAGGTAATTCAACAAAACATATTATCTTAAAACATATCCTTAATTTCCCCCTCATTTCCCCCCTCCCCCTCCCTCCCATAAGCAACCCATCCTCCCCGCCCCCCGACTTCCCTCAGTTCCAATCTCTGGTTTCTCAATAAATGCTATTCTCTGCATGTTACAGAATTGTGTAAGTCCTTAATTTATCTAGCTGATTATTATCAATAAAAAGTTTGTGAGTGTTTCTTCGAGGCCTGCCAGGGAGTCCAATTCACTTTGCTGCATCTTTAGATACTTTGTAAAAGGTTCCCATTCCTCTTTAAAGTCACAGTTATCCTTGTCCCGTAGTTTATGTGTCATTTTTGCCAGTTCTGCATAGTCCATCAGTTTCTCTTTGCCATAATTCTTTAGTCGGGATTTCCTCAGTCTTCCATCCTTGTGCTATTAAGACTCTCGCCGTTGTTGTCGCATACAGGAAGATGTTTTTCAACTTCTTTGTCAGGTTAGCTCAGGGGTTCTTAACCTTGGGGCCGTGGATAGGCTTCAGAGGGGCCATGAACCGGATGCAAAAAAAAACCCCAATCCCCCTCATTTGATTTCTTTCCTGTTCCTTTCTGTATCCTTGCGTGCATTTTTCTGTGACCCATGGCTTTCATCAGGTTCTCAAAGGAGTCTATGACCCAAAAAAGATTAAGAACCACTGATCTAGTTGATCCCTCAGACCCGGGCGACTTCTTTACATTTTCATAGAGAGAAATCCAAGGTATGGATGTTGTAATGTGAAAACAGTCACATGCTTCTCTCTCTCTCTCTCTCTCTCTCTCTCTCTCTCTCTCTCTTAGTCTGATGCATGTGTCTGGAATACAACAGCCTTTTGTTTCCAGATACGTGTACACATTGATCCAAAATACAGGCAGATCTTTATGCGGAATTTGGATCTGCCTGTATGAAAATGTAAAAGTGAGGAGCAGAGGTGGAACTTCCTGGTATAGGAGATTCAAGGCCTACAGAGTTGAACAAGGTGTTGTTGTTGTTTAGTCGTTTAGTCGTGTCCGACTCTTTGTGACTCCATGGACCAGAGCACTCCAGGCACTCCTGTCTTCCACTGCCTCCCACAGCTTGGTCAAACTCATGTTGGTAGCTTCAAGATGTCCAACCATCTTGTCCTCTGTCGTCCCCTTCTCCTCCATCTTTCCCAACATCAGGGTCTTTTCCAGGGAGTCTTCTCTTCTCATGAGGTGGCCAAAGTATTGGAGCCTCAGCTTCATGATCTGTCCTTTCAGTGAGCACTCAGGGCTGATTTCCTTCAGAATGGATATGTTTGATCTTCTTGCAGTCCATGGGACTCTCAAGAGTCTCCTCCAGCACCATAATTCAAAAGCATCAATTCTTTGGCGATCAGTCTTCTTTATGGTCTAGCTCTCACTTCCATACATCACAACTGGGAAAACCATAGCTTTAACTATACGGACCGTGTTGGCAAGGTGATGTCTCATAACACCAAAGTCCAGAAAAGTAGTAGAAGGAGGGCTGTCCTTTCTTTCACCCCTCAAGGCAGCTCATATGGGCACGAAATAGAAGGGACAGGATAGGCTGAAGCTTTAGCGAGTGTTTAGGGTGAGATTTCTTGATAGGAATCCCAAGATGATGTACTTACCAGATATTTTTTAGCTCTTCAGTCACAGGCTTATTATCCGCAGCTTCTAAGGCATCGCCTGCTGTTCTGCACTTCAGCTGGCCCAGGAACTAGGAAGACCAGGGAAGGATACAAGTAAGGAACAAAACTGGGAGGACGGCAGCCAGCAGCTACCGTATTTTTCGCTCTATAGGATGCACCCGACCATAGGACGCACCTTGTTTTAGAGGGGGAGAACAAGAAAAAAAAATCTCCCCCTCTCTGCTCAGCGCCCCTTCAGCGAAGCGGCAGGAGAAACAGAGCCCCTTCCATTTCTCCTCCCGCTTGGCTGAAGGGGTGCTGCGCAGCTCTCCCTCTCTGCTGAAGCCAGGAGAGTCTTGCTCTCCTGGCTTCAGCAAAAGGAACCCGAAGCCTCCGGAGCGTAGCGGGAACTCGCGCTGCACTCCGAAGGCTTCAGGCGGCTATCCCTGAAGCCTGGAGAGCGAGAGGCGTCAGTGCACACCGACCCCTCTCACTCTCCAGGCTTCAGCGAAAGCAACGCGAAGCCAAGGAGCGCGGAGGGAGCTCTCCTCTGTGCTTCGGAGGCTTCACGTTGCTATCGCTGAAGCCAAGGAGCCTGCATTCGCTCCATAGGATGCACACACATTTCCCCTTAATTTTTGGAGGGGGGAAAGTGCGCCCTATAGAGCGAAAAATACAGTATTTGCTGCTGTCCAGTAGGGGTGCTCCAAGGATGCAAATCTAAAAAAAAAGGTAGTATAAACACTGACAACAGGGAAACAGTGGCTTGTGAGTGCTCCAGCTGGAGAACAGCCTTTACCAAAGGCTTTGAAGACGCTCAAACTCAGGATGAAAGGGAGAAACGTGCTAAGAGGAAGGCATGCTTGGCAAACCCTCACCATGATCAACTCCCGTCCGGAAACCTATGTCCCCACTGTGGAAGGACGTGTGGATCCAGATTTGGCCTCCACCGTCACTTACGGACTCACTGTTAGAACCGTGTTTATGGAAGGCAATCTCACTCAGCTACAACTGATCACCAAAGAAGAGAAGCTCCAAGGAGGAGAATGAATTTCTCGCGCTTATTGCCACAAGATCCATGGCCTGGATGGCCACACATCAAACAGGACACAAGTGTTGTGTGATCTATATGACACACACTTTGTCCCCCATCAAAGTCAAAGGAGCTGGCGCTTCCGTTTTCCTATTCATCTGGGTCAGAGATCTCCATCTTTGGGTCCCTAGGATCCTCAGAACCCCAGGTGGCCTCAGCCTCAGACACTACCTCACAGATGACCTATTGAAATTAATGAACCTACGGTATGTTAATCGCAGCTGTTAATTTCTTTGAGTCTGCCCCGAGCAAGTTAGTTGAACACAACCCATTAATCTACAGTTGAAGGCAATGGGGTGTTGCTTCCTTTGATGCAGACTTGTGCAACGAAGAGCACCGGATCCTTGCAGAGGTCCAACAAACACACCTCTCGAAATCTCAGAGAACTGAGCCAGGAGAAGCTACTCACCTTGGTGCACTTCAGCTGATTTGCCTGCATTTTCTTAATGCTGCCCATGTTCCTGGTGATCTCAACCTCCTGGTCCTCTACGGTAAGAGTCCAAACACACTTGGGTCAAGATTTTCCCCTCTGCATTTCAACCTTTCTGTTTCTTGCCCAGGAACTGTGCACACACGCCCCTCCTTCTGCCATCTAGACCTTGCAAAAGCCACTTCCACCTTACGAAGGAGGTGGGGTTGCGGGCTTCATGGCCCCACCATGCGCGCGGTGGGTGGAGGCCAGCCCCGCGCAATTGGGGGGATTCCTGGCCACGTCACACCCTGGCCGGCCAATCGGCTGGTTCAGGGGGCGTGGCCTCCCCTATAAAGGCAGGACGCGGCCAGGGATCTCCCTCTTTGCTGCTCATCAGCTGTTCCAGTTTCCACCCTCCCGCCCTATAAGGTTTTTCGTTCTTTGACCTTGCTATGGACCTTGGTTGGTCGCTGTTGAGGGGCCTGGTAGGAATTTTTTCCACTTGGCAAATTGGCACCAGCCACTTGGTTTTTGCCTACCTCATAGGAAATCATCACAACTTTCTGGGATTGGTGGTTAGGCATTGGTATAGTTCTGTAGATGGAAGAGGGGAGGTAGCGCCATCACCTGCCCTGCATATTGAAGGGTAGTCTGTTAAAGGATTCCAGGGGGCGCGGCCCTGTCCGAAGCCTAGGGAGGTGAGGGCATAAGGCACACCCCCTAATGGTGACACTGGGGGAGTTCCTAGTTGATGTGCATCAGCAGGACTCCCCCTACTGGTGGTTAACCCTTCCCGGACTTCAAGCGGATGGGCTGAAGTCGGATATAGTTGGTTAGGACCAATGCCTAAGCCAATACAGTGGTACCTTGGGTTACATATGCTTCAGGTTACAGACTCCGCTAACCCAGAAATAGTACCTCGGGTTAAGGACTTTGCTTCAGGATGAGAACAGAAATTGTGCTCCGGCGGCGCGGCGGCAGCAGGAGGCCCCATTAGCTAAAGTGGTGCTTCAGGTTAAGAACAGTTTCATGTTAAGAGCGGACCTCCGGAACGAATTAAGTTCTTAACCTGAGGTACCACTGTACCGCTCATCACCTGTAACCAATAAGGTTGTGAACTTTTTTAGCCCATTAACCTTAATAATTGTGTCATGTGTCTCGCCACGCAACAGCCACAGCTGAGACCCTCAGCTGGGAGTAGAGGCCTGAAGGTTTCTGGAGTCTGGTGAAGCAAGGACCCCTTGCTTGCGCTCTACTAGATGCAAAGGGGTGGAGTGCGCTTAGCCCAGAGGGTCACCAATGTGCCCGTCAATGCCTCCTATGGTGTCCGCCAAAGGTCTCAGCAAATAACCCCTTCATTGGCTTGGCCTCTCCTGCACCAAACTTTCCCTGTTAAACATGCCCACATTTCATTGGATTCTGGGATTGGTCACTCATCTTCCCGTTCATTCGGAACTGGGGAGAGGGGCAAAGAGAGGTACAAATGATATACGATGAATTGAAAAAGATGTTCAAAATACCTTTTATTTAAAAATCACACACACCCAGAAGCTTTTATTTTGGGAATTATAGGGACAGAAGTACCTAAATTGTATAGAAATCTACATCAGCAAGAATGTGACTTGCCCAAAAATGGAAAGAAGGAAGAAGTCCCAGCAAAGGAAGAATGGATACAAAACCTTCTGGAATATGCAGAAATCACTTACCAGAAATCAAGATAACTAACTTTTTAATCAAAGAATGGAAATGGTTGATTGAATATTTACAGATAAATTGTAAACAGATAAAAACATTAGCAGGATTATTGTAATAACCTGCAGTTTTATAAGGGCAGATATTTACAGTAGATAATTAAATGAGCAAGTTAAATGAATTTGGATATGCAGAAGGTATTAAAAAATAAATTTAAGGGACCGCAGAAAGAGGGGGAAGGAAGTCAAATTTTGAAATGATAAATTGATTGTAAAACTAATAAAATGTATAAATTTGGGAAAAAAAACCAAAAACACAGCTCCTCTCCGAGAGCGTATGTGAAGATGGTGGTGGCAGTTGACACAGGTCTCCCCCCCCCCCCCGGTGGTGGGGCGACATCGTTTTGCATCCTTGTATCTTTTCCTGCTTTTAGAGGTGGCAGCCATTTTGGGATGGGGTCCCCACACCACTTCCTCAGAATTCCCAAAATTCCCACCCGCTGGACCCTGGCTTAGCCCTTCTCTAGAAAGCAGAACAGCTATAGCAAGGGAGGGGAGGCAGGCTGCCTGAATCTTTACACACATATACAAGAACCTGGTAGACAACATGGGATTTGTGTCGTTCAAATCATGCCAGCACCAACATAGTTTTCCCCTTTGTTAAAGTCACTGGTGGTTTAACAGCAATCCTCAGACTTAGGAAATACAGTTCCAACCAAGGAAGCGTGGCAGATAAAATTAGCGAACTATGCTGACTTGGCAAATCTTACAGGAAGAATTAGGAGTCAGGAAGAATCAGACTTTAATCAAGAATGGGGGAGGTATATAATGTATTTGAAAAACTATTGTAAATAGTTATTGGTATCTGAAGAAGTGTGCATGCACACAAAAGCTCATACCAATAACAAACTTAGTTGGTCTCTAAGGTGCTACTGGAAGGTATTTTTTGATTGTAAACAACGACATATATTAGTAGGTTTGACAGAAAACGTGTATTAAAATTTGAAGTATGAATAAGGACTTGTAACATTTTGAGTTAGTGAAGAGATGCAGAATGAAAATTAAAACATAAGGATCTATAAAAAGGGGGGAGGGAAGTCAAAGGGAAAACGATGTTTGTATTTTGTTTCTTTTGTTGTTGTTATTGGTTGTAAAATTGAAAATGCAAAAATAATTTAAAAAAATAAAATAACGGCCTTTTCAGATCCAGGATTGAATTTGTTCTAACATGCTGTGGGGGACCCACATCTTAATGACCCCCCTGACACCCCTTTGGTAGGGTGATTATGCTGCTACTGCAACCTTCCTTAGGCCTAATAGCAAATATTTGGGACACAGCCAACTCCCACCCTCCTTGACCACTGGCTGGGGCTGAAGTTGAGCTGGATCTCAAAATCTGCTGGGCCACAGGTCCCCCATCCTTGCCCTAGTGCAGGGGTCTGCAACCTTTAAGACAAAAAGAGCCACTTGGACCCGTTTTCGAAGAAAAACAACAACTGGGAGCCGCAAAACCATTGCGACATTTAAAACAAAGATATCTCCGGAGCCGCGATCTGACAGCGGGCGGGAAGGTGACGTCAGGACGGTGCGTGACTAACGCACGCACCGCCCCCATGCGACGTCACAGCCAGTACAGCGCCCGCCACAGTGGCGTAGCGTGGGTTGTCAGCACCCGGGGCAAGGCAAGTAATTTGCGCCCCCTAACCCGTGGATTTGCGCCCCCTAACCCTACCCCCCAGATGTTGCGCCCGGCCCCCCCTGCACCCCCCACGCTACGCCACTGGCCCGCCACAGTGGAGAGTGTCGGGGCGCACAATGCGCCTCCTCCCCTCGCTAGTATCTGCCCCGGAGCCGCAGCAAAGGTGTAAAAGAGCCACATGCAGCTCCGGAGCCGCGGGTTGCGGACCCCTGCCCTAGTGGATCCTGACTTGAAGGTGGAAGGGAGGCAGTGCCAAGTCTCCATATCTGGGGTCTCGACATTGGTCACAATTCTCCTAAGCAAACCTAAGATATGTAGAACTGGGGGGACGGGGAACCTCCTGCAAGGGGAACAATTAATTTAAAAACCACACTGCAAAGGTCAGCTGCTGATGTTACAAAATCAAACGGAAGACAAGCGAATGAGAGAGTTCACCGCTGAGGACGAGGCGAGATTAAGCAAGAGTGTTAAATTAAAGGAAATCTTTCTAATTAACAGGAGCAGCTCAGCGATAGAACAAGTCGCTTTGGGAGGCTGGGAAAGTCTCCTTCCTCCAAGATTTTTAAAGCAAAGGTTGCAAAAGGTCCAGAGAAAGCTTTTAAGTCTATAAAATATTCAGTTGTAGGAGGGAGAGTTGGGCTGGCTGATGCCAACTGAATGAACACATGTGGACTTGCGAGATTTTAATTCTATTACCCTAGTTGAGTGGGAGGGCAAAGACCTTTCCCCTCTATATACCCTGAAGGTATAAACCAGGTGGCCCAGCAGACAGTGTTACGCCTGAATCCAAAGCCATTCACATTTGCCACCTGCTCAGATTGCGGGAAGATAACGGAGGGTCTGCTATACAGGAAGATTCGGGATGGCTTGAGTTTGCAGCAGGTAAGGGAGGGGAAGGAATGCTGGCTGGATTCAGGTAAAGAGCCCAACTAGCAGTCAGAAGCAGCAGATTCTGATTTCTTTCCGCAGGGCCTGTAAGTCAGAGTTGTTCCGCCTGGCCTTTGGCTTGGAGCCAATTTGATTCCCTCCCTCTTTTTCCTTTTTCTTTTCCTTCTCCTCCTGCGATGAGGTTACATTTTAATATTTTAATGTTTCAATATTTTAATGTTGTATTTTAATTTTGTTTTTAAGTTGTAATCATTCAACTTGTTTTTATTATTGCTTGTAAGCCGCTCTGAGCCCGGCCTTGGCTGGGGAGGGCGGGGTATAAATAAAAATTATTATTATTATTATTATTAGTCCAAAGGGGCTTTCCTCATCTCTCTTCCTCTGTACCTCCCCCTATCTCTATATATCTATCTATTTCTAGATAGATAGATAGATAGATAGATAGATATGTCAGGGAACTGCCGTCGGCTCAGAAGCGAGGAACAGAAGAGCAGTTGTGTTACAGGGAGCCTCCGAAAATCTTGCGAAGCAGTTCCTCTTCCGGCGAGGAGGAAAGCCCCACCTCCAGTGGGGAAGAGGTACAAGGACCAGAGGATGCTTGTGGAAGCCTTAACACCGCTCCTGGGCAAGGCAGACAGGAGGGAAACACGCCCTTGCCATCGCCCATCCTGCACAGGAAGCCTAAGGCGCAAAGAGGGAAGGAGAAGGTTGGGGGTAATGAAACTCTTGTGTTGGGGGAGGTCCAAAAAAAGACCACTCCCGGATTCTGCTAGCGATTGAGCCAGACATGAACTTTTGACGCTCTTCACTGTAAATAGTTTGCACCAAAATAAAGCCTGTAAAAGACAGGTTGGTTACTCTCAAGCAACCGCAACAGCCATCTGACAATATAAATATAGATATATAGATATATAATTAAATTTTCTAATTTATATTTCAAAATATTCATTTAAACAACCTTAAATCAATGACTTCCCTTCTTCTCTTTCCGTGGTTCATTTTGCATACCCAACATCCCTGCATATTTTACACGAACTAAACCATTCAGTAATCCATTGTTACATCCATCAAAACTTATTTACACTGTTGAATTTATCTTAATGCTGCCAACGTTTCAAATGTACACAATTTTCACCCATATACTCAGTAAACATTTCCCAGTCTTCTTTAAACGTATATTCTTCTTGTTCTCTTATTCTATAGGTTAAATCTGCAAGCTGCACGTGTTCCATCAGTTTAAGTTGCCATTCTGCTTTAGTTGGGACCTCGCTTGCCTTTCCATTTTTGGGCTGGCAAAACACAGGGTGCAGTAGTGGAATACATTAATAGTATTTTTTGACACCTGGGAATTTCCCTCTGAATTATCTCCAACAGAAAGGACTCTGGGTTTTTGGAAAGGTACTTTTAAACATTTTTTTTCAATTCATTATATATCATTTCCCAATACTCTCTTACCCTTCCTGTTCCCCCACTCCTCAAACTGCATTGAGAGTGTTGGGTATAAGCAACCTTGCATGGCTCCAGCCAGCAGAGGGCAGGGTTCCAGGGGTCAGCAAACCTTTTCAGCAACGGGCTGGTCCACTGTCCCTCAGACCTTGTGGGGGGCCAGACTGTATTTTGAAAAAAACATATGATCGAATTCCTATGCCCCACAAATAACCCAGAGATGCATTTTAAATAAAAGGACACATTCTACTCATGTAAAAACACGCTGATTCCTGGACCGTCCACGGGCCGGATTTAGAAGGCGACTGGGCTGGATCTGGGCCCCGGGCCTTAGTTTGCCTACCCATGGTTGAGACTAACAGATAGTAAAGGCAAATACACTGTGTGGTGTCCCACTAAACACCTAAGCTACACTCCTTCTGCGTGTTCTCTCTCTCTCTGCTGCACAAGGGAACCTGGAAAACCTCCTCTCACAATCCAGAGTCAGAATCCAAAGCCATCCTTGCAAATATTTATTTATTTGTTCATTAGGTATAAAGCACAGTCAAACCTCGGTGCAATCTGTTCCGGAAGCCCGTTTGGCTTCTGAAACATTCGACAACCGAGGCATGGCTTCCAATTCGTTGCAGGAGCTTCCTGCACTCAAGCAGAAGTCAGACGTTCGGCTTCCAAAAAACGTTTGAAATCCAGAGCATTTACGTCTGGGTTTTTGGCATTCAGGAGCTGAAACGTTCCAAAACAGAGCCTTTCGGCAACCAAGGTTTGACTGTAACAGGAAGTAAAGAACCCTTTTTCCCCTTTACAAATGGGACCCCTGCTTAATTTATTTTACCCTTTTTAGCAGTGCTAGTGATGCGTGAATGGGTTAGCTCCAGTTTCCAAGCTTCTATTTCTCTGAGATACACACACACACACACACAGTCATACCTTGGGTTACAGACGCTTCAGGTTGCGCGTTTTCGGGTTGTGGACGCGCTGAAACCCAGAAGTACCGGAACGGGTTATTTCCGGGTTTCGGCGCTCAAGCATGCGAAGCACCAAATCGCGATCCACGCATGCGCAGACGCGGCGCTGCGGGTTGCGAACGCTGCGGGTTACGAATGTGCCTCCCTCATGGATCACGTTCGCAACCCGAGGGTCCACTGTGTGTGTGTGTGTGTATTAAGCCAACCCATTTTATTTTTGAAACTAGGAGGGAAGGAGGAGAGGGGGGATTGTTCCGCCTGACAAGCTGAAAGACTTTGATTGGCAGAATGAGTGGAATGATCAGGAATTGCTGAATTCCTTCCAACATGGCTGGAGAGGCACCCACTGCATTTCGGAGAGGGGGAACGCTCCGGGTGATGCAAAGGACACAAGGAAAATGAGCGGAGCAGCTACATACTCAGTTTCTGATGAATGCGCCGCAGTTCACCCTGCACAGCTTCCAGCTCCTCCCAAAGCAACTTCTTGCTGCAGGTTGAGGGGAGGTGGGTAGGGAGAGGGGGAGAAAAGAAAGAAGGGAGAACTTCAAAACACAGTAATGGAGACTCCCTGAGAAAGTAAGAGAGCAACACACTCCAGTTTGGTCTGTTGAAGGTCTCCAACATGGTGCATGGCACTTGTTCTGGGACTACAACTCCCATCAGCTCCAGCAACTATGGGCATAGTCAAGAATTATGGGAGTTGTAGTCCACCATCTAAAGTGTACCACCTTGGTTACATCTGGATTAAGATCATCTACCAAACGTCTTCCACTCCAGCCTAACACCTAAGCCTGCTTAGATGTGTCTGTGGGTCTATGGAGACCCAGGCCAGCCAGGGGTGCCCTTGATCAAGTCTTCCTCCCGGCATTTATTTATTTTTTATTTTATTTATTTATTGAATTTATATACCGCCCTATTCCTGGAGGTCTCAGGGTGGTTCATAGAAAAGATCACAATCTATAAAATCAAAATAAAAACAATAACCCAATAACACCCCCACCCCCCAAAAAGAGCCACATTTTAAAAGGGTATAGGATGTCAGTCTGGTCTGCCAAAGGCCTGGTTAAAAGGGAACATTTTTGCCTGGTGCCTAAAGGTATCTAATGAAGGTGCCAGGCGAACTTCCCTGGGGAGAGCATTCCACAGATGGGGAGCCACTGCAGAAAAGGCCCTGTTCTCGTGTTGCCACCCTCCGCACCTCTCAAGGAAGAGGCACACGAAGGAGGACCTCAGAAGTTGATATCGGGGTCTAGGTAGGTTCATATGGAAAGAGGCGGTTCCTTGAGGTATTGTGATCCTGAGCCGTTTAAGGCTTTACAGGTCAAAACCAGCACTTTGAATTGGGCCCGGAAACTAATTGGCAGCCAGCGCAGTCGGACCAGGATCAGATATGCATTGGATACTGCACTGAGTACTGTGAAGTAGGACCTCGCACTCCACCTAACAGCCCCTTCCCTCTTCTCTCGCCCCCTGTGTTTTCTCCCACCTCTCAAGGACCGCTTGCGACAGGTTCTCCATGGAGCTTTCCTTCTCGATCATGGATCCATGGAGTCCTTGGACCTCTCTGCTCATGACTTTCCATACATCCTGGATCCTTTTCTGGATGAAGCTATCAAACATCTCCCCATGAGGTGAGCGGGCAAAAAACTGCACCTCCTCTGGACAGGAAGAGACAAAGGAGTCGTTGGAGCAGAGCTTTCCAAGACCACCAAAGGAGAGGCAGGACAAAATGGCCTGCACTAATCTGAGGAGGCGGCAAGTATTCAGCACACCTTTCATCGACCTGCGCAAGTGTGGGGTTTCGCATCAGGTGCAGAACTTAGCCTGCCAACATTCTTGGCTTTCGTTTTTTAAATTATTGGGTTTCTTGTCTTTATGGCTGTGGAGAGAAGCTTAAAAATATATTGGTCTTGCTAGGAGAGCTGAGCAGGGTGGACTTCAGGAGGCTACAAAGTTCTTTGTAGAACGGAGGCGGAATAGAAGAATTTGGCCTTTCCGCGGTGCAGCATTCCAGGTTTTCCTTTTAACAGAGTAGGGTGATTACTGTATTTTTTGCTCTATAAGACTCACTTTTTCCCTCCTAAAAAGTAAGGGGAAATGTGTGTGTGTGTTATGGAGCGAATGCAGGCTGCGCAGCTATCCCAGAAGCCAGAACAGCAAGAGGGATTGCTGCTTTCTCTGCGCAGCGATCCCTCTTGCTGTTCTGGCTTCTGAGATTCAGAATATTTTTTTTCTTGTTTTCCTCCTCCAAAAACTAGGTGCGTCTTATGGTCCGGTGCGTCTTATAGAGCAAAAATACGGTAATTTACAAAATCAGTATCAACTGGCTGCGTAGAATTGTGAAGAATACCCAACTCATTAGCACACACTGGAACACAGAGCATGACCTGCGATTAAGATGGGACATTGTAATAAGCTACTTTCCTCCAATTATTCAAAGTCTTAGTCGTGATAGACTTGGGATCCTAAGGAAAACCGTACTAGGAATTTTTCCAGATGGAGTCACACTGAAATGAACGGATATTGCGATCCAGTTCACTTCTGTGGTGTTTCTGTAGAAGGCCTGCAGAAATTTCATAGCCATCAGGACCAGACACATTAAGACACCAGACTCCATGGAGAATTCTGAACACACGGAATCCCCAAAGGTGATCATCATTCCTCCTTTGCACAGGTAAGTGATGCCCCCTTTGGAGCTATACTAAATACTGAGCAGACCACATTCTGCAAAGCTGTAAGCAGCACCAATGCATTTTAAAGCCATGCTCCAGATTGGCTGGTGCTTAGGAGTCTCCACAATCCTTACCTTCCAGCTCCTTGATCCGACCTTGTTGCTGGTTGCTCTCCTGCTCCAACAAGGTGATTGAGTGGCTCAATGCCTGAAAAGCCTGGCAGGAAAACATGGCACAGACAGGGTTAATGCACACAGCCACTGCCTTTGTGTAGTAGTAGTAGTAGTAATATTTCATTTATTCCCCACCCATCTGGCTGGGTTGCCCAAGCCACTCTGGGCAGCTTCCAAGACACAAAAGCATAATAAAAAAAAATTTAAAAAATTTGATCTGATATAAAAATCACAATAACTTTAAAATAAACAACTTATATCTGATATAAAAATCACAATAACTTTAAAATAAACAACTTATATCAAACAAAGCAACATTCAACAATCCATCAGTAATCTAACAGTAAACAGTAAAATTAGACACCAGCAAATAATAATTAAACAGTTCAACCACAATAAAGAATTACCAATCTAATAGAAGTAACAGCAGATCACAATGCATAAAATACAGTGGTACCTCGGGTTACATACGCTTCAGATTACATACGCTTCAGGTTACACACTCCACTAACTCAGAAATAATGCTTCAGGTTAAGAACTTTGCTTCAGGATGAGAACAGAAATTGTGGCGCAGCGACAGTGGCAGCAGGAGGCCCCATTAGCTAAAGTGGTGCTTCAGGTTAAGAACAGTTTCAGGTTAAGAACAGACCTCCAGAATGAATTAAATACTTAACCCGAGGTACCACTGTACCACAAAAACATGTAAAAGGATCAAACTGAAAAACAAAGAAGCACAATTTATAAAACTATTTAAAAAAAATATATCCATGAACTCCTCTCTTCCCAGCTGCTGCTGCTGTTCTCAAAGTCATAGTCTGGGAAAGGCTAGGTGGGGCAAGGCAGGTGGTAATGCCATTGCCTGAGGAGGAACAGAAAGTCTCTCTCCTCTGTGTTAGGGTACCAACGCAGGGGAGAGCAGAGGCTGCAGACTGGAAGGCAGCACTGGATGACTGGCACGAAGACACAGTCCTCTTGTAGTCAAGGTCCCTGACTTCACCACAGAGCAGAGAGAGAGCTCTTGCCTTCATGCTCTGCCTGTGAGCTTCCTGGAGGTTATCTGGTAACAACTACTACTATCAACAACACTATCATCATCATATTATTATTATTATTTATGTTCCACCCATCTGGCTGGGTTTCCCCAGCCACTCTGGGCAGCTTACAGCACATAAAAAATTGCAAAACATTAGACATTAAAAACTTCCCTAAACAGGGCTGCCTTCAGATGTCTTCTAAAAGCCAGATAGTTGTTTATATCCTTGACATCTGATGGGAGGGTGTTCCACAGGGCGGGCACCACTACCGAGAAGGCCCTCTGCCTGGTTCCCCATAATCTCACTTCTCGCAGTAAGGGAACCGCCAGAAGGCCCTCGGAGCTGGACCTCACCATCGAGGCTGAATGATGGGGGTGGAGACGCTCCTTCAGGTATACTGGGTGGGCCGAGGCTGTTTAGGGCTTTAAAGGTCAGCACCAACACTTTGAATTGTGCTTGGAAACGTACTGGGAGCCAATGTAAATCTTTCAGGACCGGTGTTATATGGTCTCAGCAGCCACTCCCAGTCCCCAGTCTAGCTGCTGCATTCTGGATCAGTTGTAGTTTCCGAGTCACATTCAAAGGTAGCCCCACGTAGAGCGCATTGCAGTAGTCCAAGCTGTTGGCCATGTTAGATACATTTCCGATATTAACTGTGCTGCAATAATGTGGGAAAGGTTCCAGGTTAAATTCTTCCACAAGCAGGGCTGGGAATGTTCTTTTCCTGAAACCCTAGAGATTACCTACCTGTTGCTGTAGCCAATGCTAAGCTCTATGGACCAATTGTCTGACTCCTTCCCTTTCTACTAAGCCAAAGCTTCCCAACTCCAATGGTTAAGTGCTTTCCCAAATGTACCTGGATCAGAAACAAGCATCTTCCACAGCCTTACCTCCACCCAAGACCTTACCTTGGTTTGAGCATACAGCTGAGCTTTGATAAGATCCACTTCGTTTTTCACCATCTGGGATTCTGGGACCATTACTGCAAGAGAAAGGCAGCAGCTATGCATAAGAAACACCCAGCGGTGGAAATCAACATCTGAAGCTCAGGCTGAAGATCAGAAAGCCCAATTCTCTCTTTTTTATACGAAATTATTTATCTGGTTTTTCAGATTAAAATTTTACATATCCAACACACAACATAAAACCAATAATCCAAGGAATCTCCTGGACTCCCCTCCTCCCCTTTGTGGGTCCTATTGTTAATCATTTCCTCCTGGATCTTTTATGATAATCCAGATCTTTTACATCTCCATTGTATCCAAAATTCACCATTAAACTACAAGTGTTATTTCAATCTTACTAACATTTTTAGCTGTTTACAGTGGTTTTTAAGATATATTATAAATCCCCCCCCCACTCCTTATTAAAAATTTTGTCTTCCTGATTTCTGATTCTTCTGGTCATTTTAGCCATTTTGGCATAATCCATCAACTTAATCTGCCATTCTTCTCTGTTAGGGACTTTATCTTCTTTATCTTCCATCAGAAGCCCGATTCTCATTGCAGTTGGAGCCTGGGACTGCAAACCAGAAAGTGTTGGTCCAGCTCTGCTGTTTTCCCTGCTTCCTTCCAGATCACCTCCAAGCAGGAGAGACACTTGGCCTTTCCACATTTATCTCCATCACCAGTCAGCTAAGTTTCTGCAAGGTCACAAGGCAGAGAATATCACTTACGAGTTGGCTTCATAGTAGCTATCTCAAGCTGGCTCTGGGCGTGCTGCACAAAAAGGAGCAAAATAATAATAATAATAATAATAATAATAATAATAATAATAATAATCACCATCTTCCTCCTTCCAATAAGCTAACTCTTTAACAATGGTCCACAAGAACTCCAGAGAACCTGGTGGAGACCTGTGGGATGGAATCAGATGGCCTGGCACCCAATGCGAGCAGAGGGTTTTCTCTGAAGTTCTGCCAGCAAAGGTACCTCTATTATACAGGATTCCTGATTGAAAAGTCGTGCAGTTGTTATCCCTCCATTCATATGCAACGTGTGGGGTGGAGGGAATAGGACTATATACATTAAACCCGCTCTCCCAACATTCACAGGCAGTCTAGCTCTGCCCTTCTGACAGCCGCACATTCGACAAATCATCAGGCAAGAGACCGTGTGAATATCCTCTCTACTCAAGTCAATAGCCTTCTGCATCCTAGATTCCCGATGAGTGGAAAGCTTGTGTGTGGTCAGCTGTGTATAACATCAATTCTCCACCTAGTCAGTGTCAGGAGACAAGCACCTTCGCCTCCCGTCATGGTAGGAGGAGAGGAAGAGTACAAAGTAGAACAAATTCTAGACTCCAGGATATGAAGAAAGAAGTTGCAATACCTGATTGCGTGGAAGGGCTATGGCCCTGAAGAAAGATCATGGGAATACACAGAATATGTCCATGCGCCAGACTTGCAAAGGGTGTTCCATACACGCCACCTCAACCAACCGAAACCACCAGGTTGGGAGGAGGAGGGCTCTGGAGAGGGGGGTGATGTCAGGGACTGGGCAGAGGAGGAATAGTGGAGACCGCTTCCCCATCCTGACCCTCCCAGGGAGGAGGAAGTGGAAGACAGTACAGTGGTACCTCGGGTTAAGTACTTAATTCGTTCCGGAGGTCCGTTCTTAACCTGAAACTGTTCTTAACCTGAAGCACCACTTTAGCTAATGGGGCCTCCTGCTGCCGCTGGAGCACAAATTCTGTTCTCATCCTGAAGCAAAGTTCTTAATCCGAGGTATTATTTCTAGGTTAGCGGAGTCTGTAACCTGAAGCGTATGTAACCCGAGGTACCACTGTATAGATTTACAACAGGGGCTTTGAGGGAAGTCACAGCCTAGAGGCAGATGAGGGGGAAAGCTGGGAAATCATGGAAGAGCCAGAACAACACTCGGCTGACACGTTGTCATTAGAAAGCATTCCAGATCCTCCACCTCCCAGAACCCAGGGAGCCTTAAAAGTCAGAGAGCAAAGAGCTCAAAGACAGAGGGCATGTAGCAGCACCCGTAGAAGAGATGAATGAGGAAGTAGGAGAGACGGGGGATGGGGTGGATATTCATTTGAGACAACACCATTTTCCAAGAGGCTGGGTTCTATAGCCTCTCTCTGTTAGGATTGAAATAAAAAAGGACAGTAAGAAACTTTTCCTTGTCTTTATACTTTCCTGGGCGACCAGACAGGAGCCGATGACAGCATTATGACAGTCAGGAATTGGGTTCCTCATGCGATGGATGCCTAAATCTTATAGGTTGTACAAGCATAAGCTATCCCTTCTAGATGGAGCAAGCTTGTTTTCTCCTGCTTCGGAGGACAGGACGCAAACCAATGCTTTCAAGTTACAAAAAAGGAGATTCCCCCTAAACCTCAGGAAACGTTCAACAGTGGAATGGACTCCTCTGTAAGTCAGAGGCAGTGCTAGAGGGTGCAGTCCTGCTTCTCCCTGTCGCATAGAGGGATAACGACTGAGCAGGCCATGGTTTACAGCAGGGTGGATTTGATTTAAATCAAATAGATTTAAATCATGATTTAAATCACTAGTCAGTAAGACTTGATTTAAATCAGTAAGACTTGATTTAAATGAAGCTCCGCCACTGAGCACCCCCCGCCCCCCTGTCGCCACATGTCCAACATCAGTAATGTTGGCAGTACAGCTTGGTGGGTGCAAACCTGCCTCCCCCTCACACATGTGTTAGGGATAACCAGAACAGGCTTGCCTGCCCACCCGCAATGCCAGGACTGCAACAAGAAAATCCAAGATGGCAATTCAAGTCACCTTCAAGCCAGATACTCAAGAGCCTGGGCTACAGCTGTGGCTTGTGGGTCACTTGTAGCTTTGGCAGGCTCTCTATTTAAGCAGCCCCCACCAAGGAGCCAGGATTGCCCCTCCCGACCTTCCTTTAGCAGAACACAAGCGCTTTCCACCACCATCTTGTAGCCCACCCACAACACTTACCATTGGCATCGGGCTGCCTGCCCGAGACAGGCACCAGCTAGGAGAGAGGTTTCGGCACATATCATTGTGGGAAACTGGCATCAACAATGGCTCCTGGGAGAGAAGGAGGCAGGGTTTACATTTGATTTGGCAGGAGGGTCAGAGAAAGGAGGCCCAGACCAATAACCAGCAGAACGCTGGGACCTGAGCCCCTGGACTGGAGGTGTGAAAACTTGCCACTAGGTGGTGCTGCAAGTTTCTATTCCCAGCACCTACAACTGAACATCAGATGGACGCGGGTGGCACTGTGGTTTACAGAGCCTAGGACTTGCCGATCAGAAGGTCGGTGGTTCGAATCCCCGCAACGGGGTGAGCTCCCATTGCTCGGTCCCAGCTCCTGACAACTTAGCAGTTCGAAAGCACGTCAAAGTGCAAGTCAATAAATAGGTACTGCTCCGGAGGGAAGGTAAACGGCGTTTCTGTGTGCTGCTCTGGTTCGCCAGAAGCAGCTTAGTCATGCTGGCCACATAACCCGGAAGCTGTACGCTGGCTCCCTAGGCCAATAAAGCAAGATGAGCGCCGCAACCCCAGAGTCGGCCACGACTGGACCTAATGGTCAGGGGTCCCTTTACCTTTACCTTACAACTGAACATCAGCTTCAGCCAGTGCAAAGTCTGGAGAAGAGAATCTCCTGCACAGTTGTCTTAATATATGTACAAGTAGAAGGGCTTAAGAGAATTAGTTTCAATCATTTTAGAGAAAGGCTTATTCAGAGAAAGAAATATCCCACTAAGCTATTTGAGAGATTCCTCCTCTTTTTGCCTACAGGCCTGACTGGGTGGAGGTCGTGTGCATGAAATTAAGTATAAATAGGCAGCTACGGCAATTTTTTATTATTATTATTATTATTATTATTATTATATTATTATCATTATTATCATTATCATTATTATTATATTGTATAAGTTGTATCTTTGCTTTCGATGTGCATTGTGATATTTTATGCACTGTGAGTTGCTGTTATTTTTATCAATTATAGTTTAGAACAGTGTTTCCCAAAGGGGGCGGATCACCATTTGCTCTGATTTATCCCAGCGCCTGCCAACCTAGCAGTTCGAAAGCACCCTCGGGTGCAAGTAGATAAATAGGGACCGCTTACCAGCGGGAAGGTAAACGGCGTTTCCGTGTGCGGCTCTGGCTCGCCAGATGCAGCTTTGTCACGCTGGCCACGTGACCCGGAAGTGTCTCCGGACAGCGCTGGCTCCCGGCCTCTAGAGTGAGATGGGTGCACAACCCTAGAGTCTGGCAAGACTGGCCCGTACGGGCAGGGGTACCTTTACCTTTTTATCACTAAACAGCGGTTTCCCCTTCAAAAACATGAGTCAAGCAGAGACTCAGGCAAGGGAGACCTCAGACTTGCTTCTTAAAACTGCCTGAAACAGGCAAGGAGGCAGCAGCTGCCTTGGTCAGGCGCCTCTTCCAACCAGAAGCAGATTCCGTTTTTTTGGGGGGGGGTGTATAATTTGTATTAAGTTTTTCTATTTTCTATTTTAGAATATTTATCTGAGCAACCTTAAAATATCAATGGCTTCCCTTCTCCTCCTTCCATGCTTCAGTTTGCACACCATAGATCCCTGCATGTCTTACATAAACGAAACCATTCAGTAATCCATTGTTACATCCATTAAAACTTGTTTACACTGTTGAACTTATCTTAATGCTGCCAACGTTTTCAAACGTACACAATTATTTCCCATATATTCAATAAACATTTTCCAGTCTTCTTTACACGTATGTTCTTCTTGTCCTCTTATTCTGTAAGTTAAGTCTGCCAGCTGCGCCTTTTCCATCAGTTTACGTTGCCATTCTTCTTTAGTTGGGACCTTGCTCGTTTTCCATTTTGGGGCTAACAAAACACGGGTGCAGTAAAGGTAAAGGGACCCCTGACCATTAAGTCCAGTCGCAGATGACTCTGGGGTTGCGGCGCTCATCTCGCTTTATTGGCCGAGGGAGCCGGCGTACAGCTTCCGAGTCATGTGGCCAGCATGACTAAGCCGCTTCTGGCGAACCAGAGCAGCGCACGGAAACGCCGTTTACCTTCCCACCAGAGTGGTACCTATTTATCTACTTGCACTTTGACGTGCTTTCGAACTGCTGGGTTGGCAGGAGCAGGGACCGAGCAACGGGAGCTCACCCCGTCGCGGGGATTCGATCCGCCGACCTTCTGATTGGCCAGCTGCGCCTATTCCATCAGTTTAAGTTGCCATTCTTCTTTAGTTGGGACCTTGTTCGTTTTCCATTTGTGGGCTAACAAAACACGGGCGCAGTAGCGGCATACATAAATAGCCTTTTTTTTGAAACCTGGGAATTTCCATCTGAATTATCCCTAACAAAAAGGACTCTGTTTTTTTGTGTTTCTGTGTTGTTGTTTCCATCTGAATTATCCCTAACGAAGAGGACTCTTTTTTGTGTGTTTGTCTAGTGTTGTTGTTGTTGTTGTGTGTGTATGTTTTGGAAAGTACTTTCCCAAAAAGATACTTTCCCAACCACCACCAGCTTCCATGGCTGACAGAGTGCCTGGGATGGACGTAATGCTCAGACCTCCGGGAGGAGAGCGCCCCTTAATCCGGATCCTGCGCCGCTTCTGGCCCCCCAGGTACCCTGCCCCGGCGGATGCTATTCTTTCCCACCCCATCTCCCCCTCTTTTACCGTCGTGGCCAACACCACCTCCTCTCTCGAGTCCATCGCGCGGCTCTGCCCCGAGCGCCCTCCGCTTGCCCTGCCGGGCGCAGACAGGAGCTGCCTGAGCGCAGCCCGAGGGATCCCGCGCACCGCCTCCCGGCGTGTAACAAAGGGGCGTGGCCCCTCGTGGCCTCGCCTCCCTTCATGACGCTGCTGTTTAGCACAGCCACACACCCCCCCCCCATTGCGATCCGCCTCCGTGGGGCGGAGTCTTGGTTACCGTGCTGCGGAGGAGCTCGGCCGCGAGGGCGGAAGAAGGGCATCAGGTAGGGGAGGCGCGATCTCGGGGTCCGGCGTGTAAGGGGACGGGGCGGGGGTGCAGGAGCATCGAAGCCCCCCTTTTCCTAGCGCACCCCGTCTTTTTTTTTTAGGGGTGGCGGGGAGTTCCAACGACCCCACCCCCGATTTCCCTCCCGCCTCCTTCCGATGCTCGAAACGCGTCTTCTTGCAAATGCTACTGTCGGGGCGGGGGCTGCAGGAGCGTGGAAGCCCCTTTTCCCTCTCTCCCCTCCACCCAGAGAAGCCAGTTCCTAGGGGCCGAAGGGTCTTCGCACGCACACCCCCATATAAAAAATTGGGGGCTGCACCTCGTCTTGAGATCGATTATGCGGGGCGGGGCTTAGCTGGGCCGCCCCAATATTTCATTTAATTCAAGTTGGCACCCCTGCCCCCCACCTCTTGTAGGGGTGCGGGAGTGGGAGGGGTTTTCCAACAGGCCCCCCCCTTGCATTTCTTACTCCCGCGGGCCAGCAGCCCGGTCCGCTTCCTTCCAACGCTCGACACGCGTCTTTCTTGCAAATACCGCCAGAGGCTTGAGCTGCCATCCTGGTGTTGTGTTGTGTTGTTTGCGCTTTCTCTGGAGCAAGCCTCGCTGAAATAGCAGGCTCTTGCCTCCGCTGACGAGCTGGGTTTCGTAACGACCGGACGGCTACTGGCGCCTCCTGTTCGTGGTGGCAGCAATAAGAATAAGAATAAGAATAAATTTTATTTATACCCCGCCCTCCCCAGTCAAGGCCGGGCTCAGGCAGGCTAACAAGCAATAATCAAAACAAGTTGAATGAATACAACTTAAAAACAAGATTAAAATACAACAAAAAAATACAGCAAAAGCGGGTATTAACCCCATTTCGTTTACTGCTATAGAATAAGTTGGCAACCTCCCACAAGGGGGTGTTAACTTGAATAAAATATTGGGGGACAGCAGGTAATCATCACAGAATTGATCACACAACATAGCACACACATACCATTTGAATGGCAGTGTCCATTAACTTTGGGGGGGGGCGAAGACACCCCAGCCCCTAGGAGTTGGCTCCTATGTTCCCTCCTGCCAGCCCACCACCTTCCTTTGTGCTCCTGGCATGCAGAAAAGTGCCTGCCCTTTGCGTTTGGACTTTATCCCCATCTCTTCCGCCCCACTCACCGCCATGCGCACTGCACAGGAAACACAGCACCCTTGGGTGGGGAGGGCCAGAAGGGAGCAGCCGGCCAGGACCCCTGGGCTCCATTTCCAGGGGGGAATGAATGAATTTCTGTGCCCCACAAATAACGCAGAGATGCATTTTAAATAAAAGGACACATTCTGCTCATGTAAAAGCACACTGATTCTCGGACCGTCTGTGGGCCGGATTTAGAGGGCGATTGGGCCGAATCTGGCCCTTGGGCCTTAGTTTGCCTACCTGTGGTGTACATACTTCAAAGCACATGCCTCCCCTCAGAGGATTCTGTGAACTATACAGTGGTACCTCAGGTTAAGAACTTAATTCGTTCTGGAGCTCTGTTCTTAACCTGAAGCACCACTTTAGCTAATGGGGCCTTCTGCTGCTGCCGCGCCACGGGAGCATGATTTCTGTTCTCATCCTGAAGCAAAGTTCTTAACCCGAGGTAATATTTCTGAGATAGCGGAGTCTGTAACCTGAAGTGTATGTAACCTGAAGCGTATGTAACCCGAGGTACTACTGTAGTTTGTTAAGGATTGCTGGGAATTACAGCTAAGGTTGTGCCTGCGTGCAATGTTGTTTGAGGAGGAGAATGTGCTTTCAAAAGGCATATTGCCTGGTTTCCTTGAACACATCGGATCTGACTTTGGAGTAAACGTACGGCTTTGAGCTGGGAATGGAACAGCTCTGGCTGACCTCCAGTGGTGTTTTTGTTTTGTTTTGAAATGGAAAAGCAATTGCGGAATCCTGGGGTTCTACAGAACTGCATTTTGGGCACCATCCAGACCTCCCTTAGGAGAAAAGAGCAACGGCTTTTGGAGGCAGTGTGGGCTGTTGGGAGTGAGTCACGTGAAACTGAATCAGGCTTGCTTAATACATAGCATTTGTGTTGTGCTTTTGGCAGAGCCAGACTCCCATGAGGTTGAGTTAGGTGGCTGCCTTGGGGGGCAGGGGAGCAAGGGTGGAGTGTTGGGCAGAGTGGCGTGTGCCACATGGCATGGCCATTAAGCTGGACTGCTTCCCTCCCTTGTGTGTCCAGGATGCACCAGTATATTGAATGGGACGGGTGGAACACTGTCTTGATAATGGATTTATATCAGGCTTACTTGCCCAAATGGCTCCTATGAGGTTTACTATAAAAGCAATTACAAAAAATAGAGCAGCGTGTAATTCAAATGCACAATAAAACTAATTCGTTAAAATAAGCGCCCTTCATTAAAAAGTAGGGTAGGCCATTATCATACGACGTAACAATTAGAACAGCTAAAACAAGTGGTTAAAACAATTAAGATAGGAGGTTTGTGCACAAGGTGAGGGTAATGCTTGTCCGAAGCGCTACGTCTTCTTTCAGACAGAACTGATGGGGCCTTTCAGCAGGGAGACTATTCCACAGCATTGGGGCCACCACAGAAAAGGCCTGCCTCCATGTTACCCCAGGGTTAGAAACTGAGACGTGAAAGCTAGGAGCTAAATGGCACCTCAAACCTGGGTTATGGACGCAGCAACGGAATGCCAAGGCGTGCTTTTTTATAACGAGAACACAAAGCTGGAAATGAACAAACTGCAGCTAAAATATTAACTTCATTTTTCACATGGTCCAGTCCTTCCCCTGCCCATCCCCCCAATATTCTTAAGAGGCTCTCTTCTCCGGTCTTCAGAGAGTAGCTGGAAGCGGGGAGGCAGAAAAAAGTCCTTTCCTTTCACTCTGCAGTTTTACTCTGAAATCTTAAGTGCAGTACTGCACCCAGAGCTCAAAAATCGCTCACTCTCGTGAAATTCCCTGTCACAAAATGAGCCTAGAATGGGAGTTTTGAACACTGTTTTACCCCAATCATCCAGTTGTGGTAGAACCACTTGTTCAGCTACATGCCCTTACAATGGAGGGGAGGAGGGTACTGCCTGTTTCGGGTAAGAAGGCTTTATATGAGGGTAAAGGTAAAGGGACCCCTGACCACTAGGTCCGGTCGTGACCGACTCTGGGGTTGTGACGCTCATCTTGCTTTATTGGCCGAGGGAGCCGCCGTACAGCTTCCGGGTCATGTGGCCAGCATGACGAAGCCACTTCTGGCGAACCAGAGCAGCACACGAAAACGCCGTTTGCTTTCCTGCCGGAGTGATACCTATTTAGCTACTTGCATTTTGACGTGCTTTCAAACTGCTAGGTTGGCAGGAGCAGGGACCGAACAATGGGAGCTCACCCCATCGCAGGGATTCGAACCGCTGACCTTCTGATTGGCAAGTCCTAGGCTCTGTGGTTTAACCCATAGCGCCACCCGCGTCCAGGATCTTAAGACTGGATTGGTGGTTAAGAGCCGGCCACCGTGACAGATCCTGTAATACTGGTGTAATAGGTGATCGATAAGGGGCTCTGCTTACCAACTAGGTTGCGGCATTCTGCACCAGCTGCAGACTCTCCAGAACAAGGGAAGCCCCACGAAGCACACATTACAGTAGTCTAACTGTGAGGCTACCACTAGAGCTGGGTGTCCTCAGCACACACGGGTGACACCATTCCCGAAACCTCCTGATGGCTGCGCCCAGTGACTTCATATAGTGGCACTGGAGACCCACAGGTATGAAGTTTACGGCATGTAATGCCTTAAGAGAGAATATTATGAAAATGATATACAGGTGGTACATGACACCAGTCAAGCTTGCAAAAATCTATCATTTGCCCGATAATAAATGTTGGAAATGTAAAGAAACTGAAGGTACATTATTTCACCTTTGGTGGACGTGCCCAAGGATTAAGGCTTTCTGGGAGATGATATATAATGAAATGAAAAAGGTATTTAAATATACCTTCCTGAAGAAACCAGAGGCCTTTCTCCTGGGCATGGTCGGCCAATTGGTGCCAAAGAAGGATAGCACTTTCTTTATGTATGCCACAACAGCAGCAAGAATACTTATCGCAAAGTATTGGAAGACACAAGATCTACCCACCCTGGAAGAATGGCAGGTGAAGGTGATGGACTATATGGAACTGGCGGAAATGACCGGCAGAATCCGAGATCAGGGAGAAGAGTCGGTGGAATAAGATTGGAAGAAATTTAATGACTATTTACAGAAATACTGCAAAATTAATGAATGTTAGAATGATGTTGGATTGAAGTTAAGTGGTTTTCAGCAGTAATGTTATAAAGATGTGTAAAAATGGATTGTTAACAGGGGATAATCTAAAGTTATAATATATTAAGATTAAAGATTAGGATAAAAACAAAGGGAAAGGATTTGCTGAACCAACTAATTGAACTGGATACAAAAAAGGGAGGTGTGAGGAGGTCTGGGGAACAAGCGAATGAAAGATAAGACATGGAAAGATTGAATTGTTTTTAACTGTTTTTACTTTGTATTTTTTCTTTTTCTTTTTTCTTTTTGTAACATTTTGAAAACTTTAATAAAAATCTTTAAAAAACAGTGCCCTGTGGCACCCTGTTTTCTAAGGCCAGCCATGCAAGTATGAGTGGAACGACCATAAAACAATGCCTTCCGACTCCCAACCAGTTCAGGAGCATAGCATGGTCAGGGTCTGCAAAATGCCTTGAGTCTGCTCTGCTTTTCAGTATTTAAAGTACTTCACATCTCCCATATTGTGAAGTAAGTTAGTCTTATTATCCCCATCCCATGGATTAAGAAATTAAGATATAATAAGGGAACATTCTTTCATATGTGGTGGACTTGTAAAAGGGTAAAAGAGTATTGGGAAATGACCCATAATGAATTGAAAAAAATGTTTAAAAGTACTCCCCCCCCAAAAAAAAAAACAACAACCCCAGAGTCCTTTCTGTTGGGGATAATTCAGACTGAAATTCCCAGGTGTCAAAAAAGGTAATTTATGTATGCTACTACTGCGGCACATGTTTTGTTAGCCCAAAAATGGAAAACGAGCAAGGTCCCAACCAAAGAAGAAGGGCAACTTAACTTGACAGAGTACGCGCAGCTTGCAGACTTAACATATAGAATAAGAGAACAAGAAGAACATACGTTTAGAGAAGACTGGAAAACGTTTATTGAATATATGGAAAAGAACTGTGTACAGCTGAAAACACTGGCAGCATTAAGATAAATTCAACAGTGTAAACAAGTTTTGAAGGATGCAATAATGGAATAGTGAATGGTATAGTGTCTGTAAATATACAGGGATTTATGATATTTAAAATGAACCACGGAAAGAGAAGAGAAGTCGTAGATATCTTAAGGATATAAAAATGAGTACTTTAAATTGTAAAACAGAAAATTCAATAAAAATTATATACAAAAAAAGAAATTCAGATACAATGGCTCCTTAAAACCAGGGTTGTTGTTGTTCTTTAGTCGTTTAGTCGTGTCCGACTCTTCATGACCCCATGGACCAGAGCACGCCAGGCACCTCTGTCCTCCACTACTTCCCGCAGTTTGGTCAAACTCATGCTGGTAACCTCGAAAACACTATCCAACCATCTCGTCCTCTGTCGCCCCCTTCTCCTTGTGCCCTCCATCTTTCCCAGCATCAGTGTCTTCTCCAGGGAGTCTTGTCTTCTCATGAGGTGGCCAAAGTACTGGAGCCTCAGCTTCACGATCTGTCCTTCCAGTGAGCACTCATCGCTGATTTCCTTAAGAATGGATGCGTTTGATCTTCTTGCAGTCCATGGGACTCTCAAGAGTCTTCTCCAGCACCATAATTCAAAAGCATCAATTCTTCGGCGATCAGCCTTCTTTATGGTCCAGCTCTCACTTCCATGCATCACTGTCGCCAAAACGCAATGCCTAGTTGCCATTTGGGGGCCAGATGGTTCGGAAGTCGTCATTTCGATAACAACTTTTTGGTTCCCGACGTTCATTCCGATTGTACAGATGAAATATCACAGACAGAATTCTACAGGAGGTGTTGCTAGTGTGTTAAAACAGTCAAGATCCAAGGATCCCCAGGCATGCATAGCTCCAGGTG